AATGGACAGAGTCCCATTCTATTCGCAAATAATAGAATGAGACTCTGCAATGTTCTCTTCGCGAATACAACCAGAGTCTGATTCTAGGGAGAGAGAGAGAGAGAGAGAGAGAGAGAGAGAGAGAGAGAGAGTCAAAGAGAGAGACCAAAGTGCGCCTTAGGCGCCAGCACGCAATCCAATGCGAAACCCTTGCGGGACGCGAAATGAAGAAGAAACACAGCACGCACGCAGGCCCCAAAAACACCCCCTGCTCTTACAGGTGCGCCTGACTGGCGGGGCAAGGTCCGCAAGGCCGATTGCTCCTGTGCTCAGCCGCCGCAGTAGTCATTGGCTCCGCGGCAGCCTGTGTAGCAGACAGACGCTGGAGGCCGCCTAGGGCTGGCCGCACCAGCCAGCGCCAGAGTTCGTGCGCGCCACTGTTCCACACGCATCGCCGCACCGCCGCACCACATCAGACACGCCACGCCTCCAACACCACGGGCAAGCACATCTCCAGTCCACCCATGCCTGCAAAGCCGCAGGGCACTGGCAAGGAAGGTGCTCCAGCAGATGCTGGAACGCCTCCCAGGAAAGCTCGGACGGCCTGCAAGCAAGATCTCCCCCTTGCCCCGCAGGGCGGAGACGCAAGTAAATACTGAAGGACCAACACAGCATGCCCATGCGCAAGAAGCCAACGACGGCCAGCAGGCGCAAGTGCGAACTGACGCGCGCAATAAGCTCCACACACACGCTCCACACACACCCACACACACAAACAGAGAAACACAAACAGAAACTGAAGAAAAAAAACACAAACAAACATAAACACACACCACAAACGTGAACAAAAACACAAGCAGAAACAAAAAGAGAAACAGACACACGAACAGAAACACAAACCCAAACGCAAACCCAAACACAAACACACACACCCAAACCCAAACACAAACCACAAACGCGAACAAAAACACAAGCAGAAACAAAAAGAGAAACAGACACACGAACAGAAACACAAAGCCAAACGTAAACCCAAACACAAGCACAAACACACACCCCAACCCAAACACAAACACAAAAAACAACAGACACAGAAACAAAACCACAAACCCAACCGCAAACCCAAACACGAACACAAACACACACAGACACGCAAACACACAAACACAAGGACACACAGACACGCAGACACACACAGACACACAAACACACACACACACACACACACAGACATACAGGTACACATATACATACACGCGCACACACACGCGCGCACGCACACACACGTACACACGCACGCACGCACACGCGCACGCACGCACGCACAGACGCACACACGCACACACGCGCACACCTCCGCACACCTCCGCACACCTCCGCACACCTCCGCACACCTCCGCACACCTCCGCACACATCCCCACACATCCGCACACATCCGCACACATCCGCACACATCCCCACACATCCGCACACATCCGCACACATCCGCACACATCCGCACACATCCGCACACATCCCCACACATCCGCACACATCCGCACACATCCGCACACATCCGCAAACATCCGCACACATCCGCACACATCCGAACACATCCGAACACATCCGCACACATCCGCACACATCCGCACACATCCGCACCCACACCCCCACCCACACCCCCACCCACACCCCCACCCACACCCACCCACCCACCCACCCACACACACACACACACACGCGCGTACACACGCACGCGCGCACGCACGCGCGCACGCACGCACGCTCGCACGCACGCACGCGCGCACGCAGGCAGGCACGCCACTGACCCACCCGCAAACGCACACGCGCCCAAGCGCAAACACAGCCATTGCAAAACCCGGGAACACACCTGTGCACGAACACACACACCAACACCAACACAAGCACAATCACAAACGCAAACACAAGCGCAGAAGCAACCACGAAGACAAACACGGGCACAAGCACAGACAAAGACACAAACACGGGCACAAGACAACCACCGACACAAACACAAACACAAACACAAACACAAACACAAACACAAACACACACACACACACACACACACACACACACACACACACACACACACACACACACACACACACACACACACACACACACACACACACACACACACACACACACACACACACACACACACACACACACACACACACACACACACACACACACACACACACACACACACACACACACACACACACACACACACACACACACACACACACACACACACACACACACACACACACACACACACACACACACACACACACACACACACACACACACACACACACACACACACACACACACACACACACACACACACACACACACACACACACACACACACACACACACACACACACACACACACACACACACACACACACACACACACACACACACACACACACACACACACACACACCACACAGACAGACAGCCAGCCAGCCAGCCAGCCAGCCAGACAGACAGACAGAGACAGACAAACAGACGCGCACACACACACACACAAACACACACCGGAACGCAGACACAAAAATCACAGACACGCAAACACACAGACCCACAGACCCACAGACCCACAGACCCACAGACCCACAGACACACACACACACACAATCACACACGCGCACACACTCACACACGCGCGCACGCACACGCAGCAGCAGCATCTTCGCCAGCACCGCCAGGGGAGAGGGCGCAGGAGAGAAAGGTGCACCCGACGGAACGCGCCAAGAGCGCCTTGCCGAGAAAGTCGTAGGCAGAAATTTCACCCAGCCGTTGTCGAAGAAGAGTGCCTCATGGTTAGCGGAAGGAGCCGGAGGCTCGAAAACACGGCAGCAGCAGCAGCAGCAGCAGCGGCAAAACCACCGGAAACTGCACTTCTCGTCCTTCCAATCTTGCTTGCAGTTCGCCATTTTGATGGTTTCCGCCACAGCCGAAGACAGGTCAACCGAACCATGTGTTCCGGATTGGGACTCTGAATACAGAGTCCCATTCTATTTGTGAATAGAATGGACTCTGAAGAGAATGGGAATCTGTCCCTATTTAGTCGGCAATGGAATAGGACTCTACCCCATTCTATTCGCGAATAGAATGGGACCCTGAATAGAACGGGACAGAGTTCCATTTCTTTCGCAAATAGAATGGGACTCTACCCCATTCTATTCGCGAATGGAATAGGACTCTGAATAGAATGTGACAGGGTTCTGTACTTTTCGTGAATGGAATAGGACTCTACCCCATTCTATTCGTGAATAGAATGGGACTCTGAAGAGAATGGGACTCTGTTCCATTCTAGTCGGTAATCTGAATAGAATGGGACAGGGTTCCATTCTTTTCGCGAATAGAATGGAAGTGTATACGAGTCTACTTCTTATCGTGACTCTGAGCGTCTTCTTTTTGTTTCTTGCTGTAGTTTGTTTTTTCTTGTCGTCGTTCGGCAGTCCCCGGCCCTAAAAAGACACAAGCCTGATATGGCGTCCTTGCCCAGCGGTCGCAGCGACGCAGCTTAACTTACATCGCGGCCGTGCCTGAAGCAGTCCAACACCATCGAAGCACTGCGCAGGGGGCAAGCCGCCCTGTGGCGTCAGGCATGGCCGCTCCTGCACCAGCAGTTCTCGAGTGACGCAAAGGACAGCCAGGGAATGGGGGGAATTGGGCTGAACAAGCCAAAAAAGGAAAATGCCTGAACTTCCCTTGTCCACCAAACATCATCTCCACGAGGAATTGTGGCATCAAATTACTTCCCACTTCTGACATTTTGAGCCAGCCTGCTCGGCTCCTGTTTCCAATATGTTCAGATGCAAGCAAACTCCGAAATTGCGGAAACCTAGCAGGAGGGAGTGCAAGCATACTCTGCCACTGCGGAACAAGCCTACCCACTGCTGCTTTCAACTGTGTGTGTGTGTGTTTTGTTTGCCGGGACAAGGTACTGCGTTTGCCTTTGAGCGCAAGGCGATAATCCCCTTGAAAATGTGTAGGCTCTGACCTTATCGACCTCCAATCCTTTGGGAACTGCATGCGGACAATGGGCCAAGCTCTGCTTCGGGCAAGGCATGATCCATATTCGCGGGTCCTGCACCAGCCTGGCAAAAGGTAGGTTCGAGGCACACAGGACACACACAAGCGCACACGCACACGCAACACACACTGAGGTAACATGCTTCACAACATGATCTCCAGAGCATTTCAATAGGACTCGTATCCCATTCAGCACAAAGCACCTCCAGCGCCACCAGCATCAATCTGGACCAGCCAAAACACCAGCATCATTAGCATAATTCACAGAATCACTAACATCCCCCAAGCCATTGTCATCAACGCTCGAGCCAAAATCGACGCAAGTTTACATGTCAGGGTCAGCAACCCCGCCACCTTACCAGCACCGCCCCAACCGACTTCCAGCAACCACCCACACCATTGCGATCCCTAATTATGGTGGTTCCCCGCACCACAAGCAGAAAATGGTTGTACAACAAGTCGATCTTCTAGTTTTAGGGCGACACCACGCAATACTGGCACAACAGCCGTGATCACCCTAAGCATCAGCGTCCCGCGACTTGACGAAGCACTTGCCTGATCCACACATTCGTCACTGATCGAGAGCCCATAGAACCTGATAGCACCTCGAAGGCCCGTTTCTTGCAAAGCGCAATGCAAAGCAGCACCTTTCCTTTCTGCTTCCATCAAGCCAAAGATGGAGACTTTTGGCTCTAGCATCTGAGGGCAGGACATAGGGCGATCCTCCATGTGCTTGCCAAGAGCCCTCATAGGTCACCCTGGCAATGGCAATTCAACGGACCCAATTGGGCCGTGGCAACCCGTGGATTTTCATGGGGTCCTTGCACCAGGTCATCAAAAGTTCTGCTTACGCGCAGGGGTTCATTGTCAGCTGAGCATATTGACATGTGCGGCGTATTCAAGTAAACCACAACAATCTCACAACGTGGGGTCTTGCTAGAATGCGATCGCAACCTCTCTTTTTCTGCATGTTCCTAATTAGTTGGCACAGCGGTCAGCTTCCTCTTCAGCTGACCTTGGAGCTCCTTGCGGGTCCTCTGCAGCTCTTCCAGCTCTCGCCTGGCTCGCTTCTCTCGCTGGTCTGCCTTCGCTATCTCCTTCTCGTAGTGGTCGCACTGCTTGCGATAATAATCACGCAAACGCGAAACCTGCGTCAGTGTCATCCACGGCTTCGGATTCATTGAAACTATCACATTGAGCAAGTGCAACGCCTCATCATTTTTGCCTTGCTTCATCAAGTCGTTGTAGTCCAGTATGGCGTCTCGCTGCCTCAACTCATTGAGGTTTCTGGCCATCTGCTCCTTTTTGGCCACCAGATTCTGGATCTCTCTTCTCAGCGATTCAACGCTCGCCTCGCGCTTCTGCTCCACTTTCTGCTGCGCACGGAGCCTGGTCTGCTGCCGCACCAGGCGCGCCCGACCCGCCTGCAGCTTGGCGTCCGCCTCCTCCACCTGCTGCTCCAAATTCTCAACCCGCTCGCGCATCAGGTGGATGGTGGCCACTTCGGCAGTTGCATCCTCTCCAAGCGGCTCACATTCAAAGAGGGCCTCCTCGGCATCAACTAGGCCTTCCAGTGACGCTTTCTGCTTTGCTGCAGCCGCCATGACGTCGGCCGCATGGCCCTCCAGCTCTTCAAAGTGCAAATTGTAGAGGCTCAGGGCGTTCGTCAGCGTGGCATTGCACCTGCCGCAGCTGGCACCCTCCACGAAGCAAGCCTTGTGAAACACGTGGTTGCAGCCGCTCGCGAGCAGCGCGCCAGTCAAAGGACTCCGGCAGCCAGCGCACAAGCCACGGAGATTCGACATCTGTGCTTCCCCACACACACACACGCCCCCCTGTGTGTGCTTGGGCCAACATTGCGATCCGTGGAATCTCTGGAAGCATATGCCGCTTCAGTTGGCGAGCACCGCATACCGCATGACCTCTGAAGCGAGCCGGGGAGGCTCGATCCAGGCATTGTCTGCTTTGCAGGCTGCCTCATCGAAGTACCCATATTCCACTCTCCTGAAGCCCGCGCACAACTGCTGAACCCTGGGACTAGATGCCGGCCATTTGAGGCTCTGGACTCCCACTAGAAAGCATTCATGCATGGAAAGAATTGATTCTTGAATGCTTGAAATGGGAAGCTGCCTTCGCTGAGGTGCAGCGAATCTCGGCACAGGAATTGAGTGACAAAGTAAGTCTCCTGTAGGTCCCGCTTGGGCCGAAGAAGGACACAGCCCTCTGCCAAAGCCTCGAACGAACTTGACAGTCTGGCCTGCACAGCCTTTCCCCCATGTGTGTTTAGCTTGTGCAGGAACCAACTGGACCAAGATACACAAGTTGATTGAAAGAGGCAAGGTCAATTGAAAGCCCCCTACCATGGAAGTGTACTAGGGGGTTCTAACAGACCTCAGCTGATTCACTCCTATTGCAGCGCTTTCTAGTGCCTCATGTGCCGTTTTGCTGGAGCACAGACCATGTTCAAAGAGCTCGTTGCTCAAGTATTCGTCGCTCCTGTCGTGGGTGTGTCTGTGTCTGTGTCTGTGTCCGTGTCCGTGTCCGTGTGTGTGTGTGCAACCCTTTCGTGTTCCAATCATGAGTATTTTGCAAAGCAGGCATCGTTCTTTTCTTCGACGCGATGAGCACGCTTTGCGACAACTCCGTCGATTCAGTGCGGCGCCAATCTTGCCCGTCCAACATGGCTCTCTCGCAAGGGTCCACGCGTTCAATGCTTTGACCACCCTTCTCGGGAGTGGCGCAGGAAAGTTTGGGGACGGCCTTATCCAGCGCATCGGAGCGACTGAGGGCCCCCACTGATTTCCGAACGCAGGGAAGACAGCCTTGCAATCTGCTTCCCAAACAGCTGCAAGGTAACTATGAACCACAAACTCTCTTGCGCTAAGTCTTAATGGCTCCAATACCTCCAAAGTCGACAATTCCCAACACCCTCTTTTGGACGGTTGCCCGCCCCTGCCAGTGGGGGCATCAATCATGGATATGGCTCTATGAAGAGTGGAGACAGCTCGATGTCCTAGTGTTACAAGTTACAGTGATTCAGGACATTGATTACTGTCTGGCCCCACTCCCATTGTCAATGTCACCTCCCCTGTGGCAGTTTAACCACCCGTAGAAACCGCCACCGAAAAGCCACTGCAAAACGATGCCACTCGGCGCACTGTCCGAAGGCAATGCTCTTTGCGCCTTGCAAGGCTCTTGGAATTCTCCACAAAGAAAATCCTGGTGCCAGCCTCAGACTCAAAGGCTATGCATTTGTTTAGGCACCCTCCTTCCAGTTTTGAAAATGTCGCAACTTGAAACGGGCTTCCAAAGTCTGGCTAATGTAGAAGCCCAACATAGAGGGGCTTTCAACATGCGAAACATCCTCCAAGCCCCTTGAACATTGGCGACTCTTCAGCTCGGTATACCCCAAGGGCCTCAAACTAGACGCTGGCACTCGGGCACCGGCATGGGATCTCCGAGCAGTTCTGACTCCGCGCACCTGGACTGCGCAAGCCTGGCAAGCAAGTTGCCCTCAGTTCAAGAAGCAGCAAACAAAAACCCGCAGCAGCAGCAGCTAGCAGTGCATGCGAGTCGATGTACCACTTTTACGGCGCATGTTCCAAGGCTTCCAGCTAGCTCTACCTTGTGCTGGAAGCAAATGCTGTCTCAAGCAGCCGCAGACCTTTTGTCCGAGTTCTCAAGTATGCGGCTTCAGCGCCCAAGAGCCCAAGGCTCATTTCTGGTATCCGAAGACCTGGTTGCACACTGCCGCCACCTAGGAAGACGGGGCAAGGTTGACACCCATTTTACAGCGCCGGGTGCAAGGTCTGTATGGAATGTGGATCTGCGCCATGCCCCGAATTCCCTATCTTCATCACTAGGGGGGCGAGACACACATGTTCTCCATTGAAGGGGCCCTGTCCCTCTAGGCACCTCATTCTACGATGCAATTCAAACTCGTTGAATTTTCTTTCTGAGGGGGTTTGGTATTGTTGACTACGTGCGAGTGTGCGTGCCGGTGCGGGTGCCTTTGCCTGCGGGCATGGAATGCATGTGGGTGGACATCGATCGGGTCACGCTCAAAACTCGTACTGAAGCAACCTCTCCATAGCCATAGAAAACCAAGAGACCCTCTTCGTTATTTTTGGTGGGATCCCTTGGCCTTCAGTTCTCAGATCTTACCCATTTGATTGAGGCATTCGATCCCACTGAGCTCCCAGCCATGAGATCCGGAGCCAGGGCCGTCTGACTGTTGGAGCCCTGCAATTAGCTAAGGAACCCAAGCAGTCGGTTTTGGGCCATGTATCCCTGCCCCGGAGGATTTCTGCTAGGATCCATCGTGTGACCGACCTGTTGATGCACAAAGACTGGGGAAGGTCACCCCATCTCCTCTCTGAGGTCAAGAGTTTCAAGTTGCCCTCAGTTCCAGTGATTTCTCCCATGACCAACGAGACCGTCCCATCCGAGCAGGGCCTTCCCATGATGATAGAACGAAAACTCCCTGGGATCGTTCGCGTCGATCGTGCCGTCGCCGTTCACGTCCAGCATCCTGAAGCGACCACACCTACCTATGACGCCCTATCCCAGGCTCGAAAAGTCTGAGTTGCTTGCGAGAAGAGCTTACCCCCGGACCAGTTGACCTCATCCGGGCACAGCACTGCACCAAAGTATATTATGGTGCTATCCATTCAATGGACTTCCTGAAAGAAAGAAACCACGGTACTGATCACATTGCCTGCGCATCCCAACAAACATGCCAAGCCACATAGGCACGCCCATCCTTGGCCCATGCATCAAGGCTTGGCTGTGCCAACTGACTCGCCCGGAGCCAGGCAAAATGCATTAGCAATTCTCACTTCTGGATCTTCTTGCTCAAAGCCACAAGAGGTCCAAGGCCAAGGTCTTCTCATGAGAAGGCCTCCTGTCTCCCAAACCGATGGCTTTGCTACCCAAAGGGTTTCAGCCAGGGGGCCGCGGTCAGGGTTGGCTGGCTCCACAGGCTTGGGCAGCAAATCTCCCAGGGGGTGTTGCCTGCAAACCAAGCAGAAGCAACGGAAAAGCTCGACATGCGCTTGCGCCATGAGATTGCCATTATGTGCAAAGGTCGACCGTTCCGTCTTGGTACAAGCTTGGAGAACGACCATCAACGAGATTCGCAATGGATCATCTGGTGCACAACAACGGAAACTGATGAAGCACTATCATTGGTCGTCGCGTACACACCAAGATCGTTCAGAGCTCCGGATTCTGCATTTTGTTATGCACCATGTTGCTCTTAGGCTCTTCGATAAATCCACAAAACGCTCCCAAGCAATGAAATATTTGGACTGTGGCACGTAGCCACATGCACACACCCACAAGTTCCAGTCACATACACTTCAACGCCTTCAAAGCAGATACTGCCGCCAAGCTGCCTGCCGTAGAGAGCGCGTATTCCTCATGTTGGGAAGAGGCAGGAGCTAGGGAGCAAAAGCGTTGCTGGACATGGGAAACTGGATGGGATACTAAACGGTGCCCCGTGGTCTCGTAGTTTGTCTGGCCGAGTAGTGCTTGCCTGCCCCCCGTCCTTCCCCAAAAAACACATAGGCCAATGATCTTGTTCTGACATGTTGTCAATGGCACATGTGATCCATGGGCCATCGGGGAGCACTACTCTTGCAACATGTCAATCAACTACTCGCAGCCGAATGAAAAGGCTTGGAATTGGAATTCGGCTGAGCTAGCCTGCCTCTGTGAAAGGCTGGATGAAGAAATTGCTCCAACCAGAGCTTGAAGTGCCAATCAAGTTGCCGCTCTTCTGGCCGTTTCCGCAAGCATGGCCAGTGATACTGTCTTGCAAAAGGCAAGTTCAGGAGCGGCGTGATGTCGGAAAGAAGCAACTAACAGGTCAGGCATGTCCGCACCTTGCATTGGCGAATAACAACTAGTGTTCTTGCATAGCTGGAATCGGAAGGGGTCAATGCGAACGACATCAAGGGATCCATTGTCACACAACTGTCTGGAGCAAGTGTCATGCCCAAACTTCATCCTCCGCCAACAACAAACACGACACATCAAAATCTCGTGAGTGTTCGAAGTAGGGGATGACCTTCTTGGCTGGATGCTAGAGGCAACCAATGGGCCATCATCTTCCCCTTCAAGACTCGTGCATCTTGTGCCCCACCCTTGCCCTCACATTCTGCCAGGTCACCGGGGCAGTGAAGGTCCAAATTGTTTGGCCCGTTTGCCCATCCAAGGCCTCGCTCCAAAGCCAACAGCTCAGCACCAGGCACCACGTCCGAGGCCCGCGCCACCACTTGCGAATGCTGGCGAGCTCCGATGGTGGGCTCGGGCAGGCACTGCCTAGTGCCGAGCTGCTTCCAACAGGCCGGGACAGCAATTCGTGGCCGATTGCCTTCGAATTTGAGCCTGCTCGGGTCAATCAACAACATAGCAAGTAATCGCTCCCTCTCAAGGCACAGTTTCCATCCCAGGAAAGCCCGAGAGGAACCAATGGACCAAAAATCCTTAGACAGCACCATGGGAAAGTACAATGCTTCTGCGAACTGCGTCTGTGAAACACCTTCACAAGCCCAGGGAGCGAATTGCTGGGACTGCCAAATCGAAGGGCCCCGTTTAAAAGACAAAAAAAACAGGGCGCATCATTTTGAGAACTTCCCCAGTGAGCTCTCTAGAATTGCCAATCATGTTTGGTTTTCTCTAAGCTCGGAGGGTAGTTCTGCAAAGCAAAGAGACATGTTTTCTTTCTGGCGCTTTTCCAGCTTTCATACCAGCTGTTTGTGGGAGTATAGCCGGAGTTAGACTTAATGATGTAGGTGAGAACCTACCAAACTTCTGATGTAGTTCAGACTAGTAAATGACGAGGGGCAGTGCCTTAAACCAAGGTGTGTGAAAGCTGCCGACACCCTGAAAGCAAGTGATAACCTGCAAATATTGGAAGGTCGCACAGTCTCAGGACAAATATCACTGGTTGCGAAAAAAGGTCCCGTTTGCGTACAAAAAGCTGTCAACAAGAACAACACAGGCAGGTGTCAAAACTAGACACCCACTGCTGGCTGGCTTTCAAGATGAATCAAACTTACTTGGAGGGTTTCGAGCTTTGACGCGCAGCCATCAGCCATCAAACGGCCAGGCAGCGGGTTGTTGCCCAGCGCCACGATGAGCATCGTGCGGTTCTTGGGCCCCACTGGTCCCACAGCTGGGGCAGCATTGATGCCTACGCGCCATCCCGGGCGTTGACCCTCGCAATCCTCATGCAGTCATAGACATCATGGACAGCGCAGTTGGTAAGGAAAAGCAGACTTGCTGCGCGGCCAAAATCCCTGCTCCAGCTGCCTCCAGTCCGCCTGAAGTGCCTGGAAGCAGACGGCCCCCAGGCCGGGAGGTCAGATCCCTTCGACTCCGCGAATCCCTCCAAAAACCTGTCCCTTAAAAACTTATCAAATCTCCTTTAAAAACCGTAGAAACCGATAGAAGCCGCCCGACTTCCCATCTAGCTCCGGACAAATCTCGCTAGAAACCGGTCAACTCCCTCAAAGCTGCTCCAACTCCAGTCAAATCTCCCTAGACCTAGAAACCGGCCAAAATCCCGTTAAACAATTCTCAAATTCCGCTTCAGAAGCCAATCAAACCCCCCCTAAAAACCGTAGAAACCAGCCACTGAAAACAGGTCCAACTCCCGTCAAATCCCCTAGAAATCGTCAAAATCCACCCCCCCCAAAAAACCGTCAAATACCCTGGAAATTTGGACCTGCGCTTGGCCCACCATTCTGTAGCTCTCTGCGGCTCAGCCTGGCCCTTGAAGCCAGGTGGAATCGTGCGGACACGCACCCACCCTCTAGCTTGGAAACCAGCTCATGCATTCGGCGCCGACTCACTCACTGAAATAACAACACTTCAGGCAATCGAAAGCACAGTATATTCCTCAAAGCCAGCCAAAAGCGGACTGGCCGAGGCGGGCAACGCGAAGCGTTTACAATGAGTTCGGTCAGCTGTCATTTCGACATTTCGACTCTTTGCACCGCTCCGCAGGCGGCACCTTGCGAGAAGGACTTAGACCACAAGATATCGCCGTGGTGAAGATCATGGCAGCGGATGTTGCCTGGGCACTGCAGCAAATCGCGTTCCTTTCAAAGGCCGAGACCTTGTAATGCTCCAAGTCGCCCTCTGAACTACCCCCCTTGGCCACATTGAAGACATTGTACATCTGGCTGTCGTGCCCAACCTGCATTCACAGCAAGCCTTTGTGCTTGGCCTCAATGCAACTGTGTTGACCTATGAGGACCCCACCACTGAAGAGGCAGAGGAGAAGCTGACGTGCTTGGGGCCCGGGTGCCTCCACATCTCTCGTCCGTCCTGGTCCGGGGCTCGGGGGCTCATCACCCAAGTAGGACCGCGCGGTTTCCAGAAGCTGGGAGAAACCCCATGAGATGTTTCGGTTCTTCGGTTTTGCGGTTTGGCAGGCAAATTCAAGTTCAAGGGTTTCCCCAAAACACAACGAGCCCGGTTGAGCCGGCGTCCGGCGCTCCTCCAAGAAGATCGAGTATGCAGTGCCCTCCAGATCGCTAAAGTAGACCTTGTTGCCCACAATGCTGGGAGCCTTGGCCAATTTGGTGAATAAAGCATTTCACCAGCCGGAAACAAACAACAAGGGATCCTGAAACGTCGCTTCACTGACACTGGCGTTGCTTTCTTGCAAAGTCCCCGTGAAGAAAATGGGTACCCTGAGAAACATGATACACCTCTGAGGGCCGGGCCAGGTTGTACCCCTTGCTGTTCAGGTGGTACGTCCACTTGGAGCTCCCATCCTTCTCCGCAACGGCGCAAATAGCGGTACTGCCCTCCTCAGGCTGGTGGCAGAATGCAATATGGGTGCACCTCATGAGGGAATTCCCCTCCCCCCATGGTTTCACTTTCAACTCCCGTTTAAACATCACCCAAGCGAGAAACTGCAACTGCCGCCCAAACAGGGAAATCCAAGGACCACTGGAAGCATGATGAAGCATAGCTGATGCACATTTAATTGAAGACTTCAAACTGTGCCGCAATTGGCATCAAATTGAGCAATTTAGCGCCTGTCGTGGACAACTCGTAGGCTCTCAAGGTCGGAGTATCTTCCCTCGTTCCCCATAAAGGGGGGCCGACCAAACACGGGCCGTGTTGCACCCGGCTAGAATGCAGAACTCTTGCTTGGGCAATGCTCATGTAGCCTAGAGGCTATGTTGTCTGGCTCGTCACCATTGGCAGGATTGCATGGGATCAGCACAGTTCCTTGAATCGGAACGGGGATTCCATAGCGAGCTGAGGCGACGCTAATGCTGAAGTGGCTGCTTTCTGTTCATGGCACACGCAACACAGCTTTGGTCCCAAGGGGTCTGCGGGACCTCCATTTTGCTGCCAAGCGGCCGTTGCTAGCAGTAATGGAGAACCTTGGCTCAGGTTCAAACTTTGCGTTCACGCAAGGGTCTGACTCAAGGCAGTGATTGGAGAGATTTGGCCGGATCAATCTCATTGAGTGAGAGGGCTCCCTTCCTGGCCCTCCAAACCGGTCTCACTTCCGGAACAGCTGGACCACGGGACCACACTCCCCAAAAGAGGTGCCTTGGCAATGCTCCCGCAGGTGTCACCAGGAGAAAATTGAAAGAGGGCACCAAAACAGGCGGTTGTAACCTGATGACTTTCTTGTCAGGACCGGGACATTGCTTTGGTTGGGGTCCTTGTTTGCCTGAACTAATTGCAAGGGAGTTTGAACTTAGGCATGTCAAACTCGCCCCTTCCAAATGCAAATGGTTGGCTTCATAAACATTGCCATTCACGAAGCAAACAGGAGCGCTTAGTCTGGACACCTACCCTTTTGGACACACTCCCCCGGCTGACTCACCCTCATTGCCGCATGGGCGGCGAATCAGTGGAGCAATGCGTGGCAATCTTCTGCCTCCACCTCGGGGCCAACCCGAAAACCCTAAACCATAAACCCGTACTTACCCCGGGCGTATCGCGACCTGCTTTACAATTGACTCCAAGTTTCGAACCACAAGATCGTCGCATCTCTGTCTCTCTCTCTCTCTCTCTCTCTCTCTCTCTCTTTTTCTCATCTCACTCACTGACTCACTGACTCACTGACTCACTGACTCACTGACGCACTGACGCACTGACTCACTGACTCACTGACTCACTGACTCACTGACTCACTGACTCACTGACTCACTGACTCACTGACTCACTGACTCACTGACTCACTGACTCACTCACTCACTCACTTGACACCCTGATGATTGTTTAGGACTAGTATGAGCACATGGAGCAAGCTGGTGCGCTGAAGAACGCACCGCTGCCTGCTGTTGGGAACCGCTTGCAATGCAAACAGGTCTGCTGCGTGCATGTATAGGGTTTAGGGTTTTGGGTCTTGGACGTTTCCCTGACCAGGAACGGACTTTCTGTTGGCAATGCAAAACATCAGGCTAGGAACCGTGGGAACTCCAATCAGTGGACTCGCCACCGCCAGCATGGTTGAGGGCTGACTGTGGTCCAATCTTCCTGGCAAGAATGTCCAAAAAACAAGACTTTGGTCCCCCCCCCCTAACATGTACATTCTATGGGACCCCCCCCAAAAAAATGGTTGAGGGCTTGAATACTCGCTACGGTGGACAGAGTCGTACAAAGAACACCGCAAAGTGCACCAGAACAAGCTGCATGGTTCAAAACACCCAAGGAGGTTGGTTTAACTTGTGGTTTCCCTTCAAAACTCAAAAGGGGGCCATTTTGAGAAACTCCCCTCTTCCCGAGCCAAAGAAAGGCGATCGGATCGATCTCCGCCTCTCGAGGCCTCCCACCATGTCAATGGCCCAAGCCACTCCGTCCTCCGTGCCTCGAGGAAACGGCCCCACGTGACGCGTGTGAAGCACAAGCAAAATGGGGAGTGTGGCATGTCCAAGCCGCATGCTGCTGTGTTTCTACAAGGTCGCCTCAAAGACAAGGTGGCCATACGCTGTGTTGATACAGTTGTTTTGGCTAAACCAAGAAGCTCAAATCCCGGCATTGATCTGGCCAGGCATACTCCTACTAGTGATTGTATTGCCTTCCCTGTTGCACCATGTGTGCTTTATTCTGACTGAATATGCCTCAAGATAAGGGGACTTCCAAAGTTGGGCGCGATTCCTTGGTTTCCTTTTCAACCACACCAAAAAGACCCCTCAAAAAACAACAACCACCTGCTTTTCACGTGCCACGATGCATACGAAGGCTGTGCCGTCCAGCAACGCCAGGTTGCCTCGGATGACGGCTGCGTTCCACCCATACAACGCCCGCGGTGCCGACGCGCGGCTGGGATTTTGCGGATCCTCCGAGTTGAGGTCGAAGGACCAGCGCAAGTCGCCCTCCTGCAAGCAGGGTCCACCACAGACATGGAGACTTCTGTGGGAGACGAAACGCAGAAAGGGCATTCACTAGTCTAGTCACTAGCGGGAGGAATCAATGTAAACAATCCACATCATGGGTGGCCTCGCTACATGAAGGCACTCTAATTCACACAGCGGAATAAACAGATGGAGTCCAATCGATGAGCTGCTGGATTCATTCTAGCCATGTTGGCCATCGGGCCATCCAACAGCGACCGACAGCGGACCTTCGTCAGAGAATAGATCCACCCGGACGTGCTAGGGATGTACCTTTGCTGTCGGGCAAGTCATCTTGGCGCTTGTTTGGGGCATCTGGGCACGCTGGGATTTGTGACTAAGAAATCACGACTCCTCCAAACAGCGGGGAGAAGAGGGGACTGGCCGTTGCCCATGGCAGCAACCCTGCTTCTGATATCTGATCAAGTCAGCCAATCCATCCTTTGATTTCTGTCAATCCCATGCCGTTGCTTTGCTCCGAAAGAAGTGGCCCGCCCGCCCAATGCCAGTCTCTCGCCCAAAGTAGCTCAAACTGTCAAAGGCCCAGCTGCACATTGGAATCCGAGTCGATCACTGGAGATCCATGGAACACCCTCCTCGTCGCCGTGCGGTATCCCTTCGGTTGAACCTGGGTATCTGAAGAGGAGGATCAATGGTGGACAGCCGTGTTGTGGCAACCATGCGTAACGATTCATGAGCCGGCGGTGTTTCCCAGCATGCCATGCCTTTCAGCCTGGTTTCATGATGCACAATCCAAATGAAAGCTTAGGCAGGCACCTGAGGATGCACAAATGTCCAGGTAGGATAGGATAAGTCTGCAATCCCCAGAAAAGGGGAGAATCCAGAATGATTCGAGTTGCCTCCCTTGCTTGGATGCGGGGCTGCTTCTCTTATCCTCATTGGCGCTTTGGCTGTTGCCACATATGCAGCAGCTGCTGCATCCACGGTCACCTCTTCCTCGCTTGGTGCAGGGTCTTCAGCTGGTGAGTTTGCCTCTTCCGGTGCGCTTGCCTCCGAATCTGTAGCGCTCGGTGCAACTGTGTTGGCACCTTTCTGGGATTCTTTTTCAGGCGGCGTAACAATCTCTCGCATCATGTCCGTCAAATTGGCATTGGGCTCACTCCCATCGTGGATCAGTGTCCAAACCTTTTTGTCATCTGGGTCCACACTGTCATGCCTTGGCTGCGATCAGCGGCCATTCTTGCTTGGCCCCCAGTGTCAAGAACTCTCAACAAGCCGCCTTTCCCAAACACGGGGATGCCATACAAGCGGTTTCGCCTGTGGCTATTCTGCAACGAAAAGCATGCAGGTTCCCTCTCTGCTTCTCAGCCACTCGCTGTCAGATCCCGATGAGTTTCGGGCCTGGAGTGGCTAGCGGGTGTGACAAATCGCTGCTTTCCTGTCCCTCTGGGCGGTTCCATATTGGTGGCTGGGAAAGTTTCAATCATTTTAGGCTGTGACACATTGGATTGTCTTCAATTCTGCGGCCCTCTGCAGCTTTTCAGGTTCCACGTTGGAAAAGAGGAATCATAGCAAGATTAAGATTGGGGAGTCCGCTTTTCTCCACAAACCCAAAGGATAAATGAACCCGGGATTCTTCGCCCCGAAGCACCAGCATGGAGAATCATTGGTGACAACCGCTTGCCGGGCCTGGTGCCAGCCATTCACTTCTGTCAGCTGTGCATGCGCGCCGATCTCTACCTGCCAGACGCTCGTGGGCTTGTCACCATGTAAGAACCGCTTTTTGATGATCTCAACAGGAAGGCAAGCAGAAACCAAACACTGAAAGGGTTCCCCTTCTGACACACTCCCAGAGAAGACTGGGCAGATTGACGGGGAAGGCTTTACAGGGGCAAATTGCCATGTCAGTGACATGGCGCCTCTTTTCTAATCCACGATGCCGCGATCCTGGGATGCCGCCAAGCTCATCAACTCAGAAACACACGCATACGCACACGCGCACGCGCAAGAGCACGCGCATGCACGCGCACACCCTGCCGCGCACGCACAGGCACAGGCACAGACAAACTCAGACCCACACGCGCAAGCGCACGCGCACGCGCAAGCCCAGCCGCATGCATGCGCACACGCACACACTCACGCACACACAAGCACGCGCACGCGCACACGCGCGCACCACAGACAAAGACACAGACACAGAGACACAGAGACACAGAGACACAGACACACAGAGACACAGAGACACAGAGACACAGAGACACAGAGACACAGAGACACAGAGACACAGAGACACAGAGACACAGAGACACAGAGACACAGAGACACAGAGACACAGACACACAGAGACACAGAAACACAGAGACACAAAGACACAAAGACACAAAGACACAAAGACGCAAAGACGCAAAGACGCAAAGACGCAAAGACGCAAAGACACAAAGACACAAAGACACAAACACGCAAACACGCAAACACGCAAACACGCAAACACGCAAACACGCAAACACGCAAACACGCAAACACGCAAACACGCAAACACGCAAACACGCAAACAAGCAAACACGCAAACACGCAAACACGCAAACACGCAGGCACACAGACACACAGACACACAGACACACAGACACACAGAGACACACAGAGACACACACAGACACACAGACACACACACAGACACACACAGACACACACAGACACACACAGACACACACAGACACACACAGACACACACAGACACACACAGACACACACACAGACACACACAGACACACAGACACACACAGACACACACAGACACACACACACACACAGAGACACACACAGAGACACACACACACAGAGACACACACAGAGACACACACACACAGACACACACACACACAGACACACACACACAGACACACACACAGACACACACACACAGACACACACACAGACACACACACAGACACACACACACACACACAGACACAGACACAGACACAGACACAGACACAGACACAGACACAGACACAGACACAGACACAGACACAGACACAGACACAGATACAGACACAGACACACACCCACACCACACCACACCACACCACACCACACCACACCACACCACACCACACCACACCACACCACACCACACCACATCACATCACATCACATCACATCACATCACAACACATCACATCACATCACATCACATCACACACACACGCGTGTACACACACACACACACATGCGCGCGCGCGATTCTATCCGAGCCCAACCAAGGAGCAAAGCTGGTGGCAACAGTGTAATGCACCCAAGTCGCGACGAGTGGAACAGCTGCGCGAAAAGCAGGCCGCTAAGGTACCTCTGCCGGAGGACTCGAGCCACGCGGCGGAACCCTCATCCCATCCTGCAACGCCCACTCATGAAGCCCAGGCTTCCCCCAAAACAATGTGATCTTCAGCCCAGAACCCAAACAAGCATCACATCCCTTTAACATGTCCGGCCACCCTTCATGAACGACCCGTACAACGCTTCGGGGGCATTTGGCGACAGTGGTCATTACACGTGCATATCCTCAGGCAACACGGACTGCGCCTACATCGCATCGTATGGAACAACTCCGGGGCTGCGGAATGCCGCGCGCACCTGTGACACTCCAGATTCTGGACGACTCTTTAGTTGATCCAGTGCTGCGTAAATATTGGTTACTGTAGGAACACCACCCAAGTAAGGCGTCACACGGGGCGTCGTTCAGCGAGCACCTCCAAGGGCTTGTGAAGATTGATTGAGCTTCAATTCTTCCAATGGGATGAAAGGTTACATGTTGAGCCCTTTACCGGTGCAAGCAATAGTTGGTTGGGGCATTGGGGCACGAGTTCACTATTGCACGGTTTGTCGAGAATAAAACATGTCATACAACGCCCTGTTGCCAAGGGGCCAATTTAGATGCACCTTGATGTCCGCTTCTGCTGTGAATCGCACACAGGCTCCCCTAGCCTTAACACGTTGGGAATCTGGTAAGGATTGGTTTTGAGTGCGTGGTCCAGGCACAAATAGTATTCTGTGAGGCTTGCAAACTTTGCTCGCTAATGGCGCATGCACTCTCTGACTGGCGGGCCTGGGTTTGTTAGACCTGCGCTTCCTTTGAGCCCATCTAAGGAGCTGCGGCAGAAAGCGTCTATCATTTTGAGTCTATGTCAACGATGTAACATGGGAAAGGACATCCACACTCTGTGCTGCACCCCTCGCAGGGATGCTCTCCTCTTCGTCTTACTACAACGACTGTGCATCATGCAGGTGGCCTACATGACGCTTCACTTGCCTTCATTGTGTTGAAGCAGCTGCATCCGGAAAACACGAGTGCGTGCCTAGCAGGAGCAATGCCAACGTCGGAACGCGCCACCTGAGTCAGACTCCATTGGTGGCCGATAGGCAAAGTTCAGCTCCCCTTGGCCTGCAGGAGCCTGACTCAAATTTGTGGCCGGCAGATCATCTGGCGCAATCTGAGCACACAACATGTCCAGGCAGGATGCAGTTGAAGCTCCATGCAGGAATGTCGGACACGGTGGCAAGTGTGCACAATGCGGGGTGGGATCGAACACTCTTTTGGATAGATCCTGTTGCAATTCAGATGCAGCACAGTTGCACTTGAACGGTCTGAAATGGTGCAGCATGCTCAGCCCAAATCAAGCGGATCATGGGTGAACACGCGTCTTTGGTGAAAGTTATGCTGTAGAGGTGCTGCCGCTGACAAGAGAAGAAACGTGGAAGTTCGGTCGAATTCTTTCAGGATGCACTCAGCCCTGCGAACAACACATGACATTGCAGAATTGCAGCACGTTTGCAGCTTAGCGGGCGTGCGTGTCGTTGAGCCAGCAACTGATAACTGGCATGTTTTCGGTCTTTTTGAATAGTGGCAAGGGAAATGTCTAATAGCGAACAGAGAAGCACGGCGCCTCCAAAAACATGTATTTTCCATCAACAACAAACCACTGGTTTGCCTGGCAACCACTGAACGACAAAGCAAATAAGAACATATGGCACGTCACAGAATCACATGTCCAAAGATCATTCCGGCACACATATTCCCACGAAAGACCCCAACCAGCCGTATCATGACATGCTCAGTGCAGCAATTGCAAGCTTTTGCAATTCCAAACGCTGCTCAGCGCACGCGGCGCACTCACAAGCCATGTTTGCGTTGGCGCGCACGGCGCGCGGAGGCCGAGGCTTCGCGGCGTTGGCGTTACCTACCGGAGTTCCATTGAAGCGAACGTCGGAAAACATCAGACAAGCAATGGGCCATGTCCCTGTCCCTGAACTTAAAGTGTTGGGGGAGCATCCCCTGCCGGGCCGCTCCAGGAGGTTATCGAAATGGTTGAGAATCGAAATATAATCATATCCACGTTCCTCAGATTTACTGGCATGATGAAGAACTTACAGGCTCTAGAGGCATGTACTATTGCTGCTGTTTGGCAAGGGCCCACATTGAAAGACGCTCAGCGGACCGAGAGGCGTCAAAAGGACATCCTTGTCAACATGAAGAAAAGGCTCAAAACACCATGTTGCAGCCTTTACACATGTTCTGTTGAGTCTGAGTCAACTCAGAGTCAACTCCCCACGGCAGTGAAGCCCTGCCTCTTGATGAGATGGATCCAGTCGAAGCCCACATCATCTTCGTCCACCTTGACGGCCACCTGAAAAGGCGGCAGGGACTGACGAGAGTGCCATCAAGAAATGGAACGGCTGCATGTTGGAGCCTGAAAGCCACAAGGTTAGAAGGAAAAAGGAAGCGGAAAAACCAATCAGGATAGTGAAACGGGAATTGAACGGCTGGCCTCGTTCTGTTAACACCTTTCAAACGCAGAATTTACCGTCAATTACTTGCGAGAGCCTATCGGAACAACCCCCAACCAGTTTTCGTTGGACCGGCATACATCTGTGGAAGTATCGCTAGCGAGCGGGAAAAAAAAACCGCCCGCAATCCATGGGGATGCAAGGCAGTCATTCTCCAGAAAAATACTGCATTGTTCTGCAATACTCCTTAAGTTTCTGTCATTGAGCATGTCTTGGCGAAACTCTCTCCAACATGACACAGTGCAGCAGTTGCAGTGCAACTCTTCTGCCTGGAAGCAACTACCGAGCATTCTGGTGGAGAAACGGTTGACGCATCCGGCATAGGTTCCCCCCAATACTCTTCCATAAAATTCCTGGCAGGGGTCCGCAGAGTATACAAACAAGCCTACACCATCCATCTGATGTCAGGCCACCCGCTTGTCGGTGCTATTGCCGAACTTGGCGAGCCTGCGCAATGAGCAATTTGCTAGGATAGCGTGGTGGCATGTATGAAAGTGCCATTTAGTATGACAAATGTCTCCCAAGCAATACTCAACAAAGGAACGTCAAACCGTGCGTGCCAATGTCAAACATCTACCAACCCTGGCGGATGATCCTGCTTCCCCTAAAGGCGGTCCGGATTAGCAAAGTGTAGCTGGCCTTAGTAGCCTTGGGGTGTTTACCTTGCCGAGCGTTGGGCCCTCATTACAATCCAACCCTCTAAACAACTGACCCGCAACTGATGATACCAGCGTGTTTGAAGAAACGGCCGTCTCAAGAATGATGTCTGCTTGCTCGGCTCCTCCCACTGCGGCCATGTGGATAGGTGCGGGTGTGTGTTTCAGGCGGATCCTAAGGCACCCACCTGGCGACTGTGTTCACTTGTGTTCCTTATCCCCAAGCTTCCTTCCTCAACGCACAGTGGTGAAAACAGTCCCCAAAGCCAGTGTTTGAGTTGCCCGCTGTTTTGAAATACCTTCCCTGGAAACCGAAGTCAAAGGAGAACTAGTTCCAGCTACCTAATCATAAGCACATAGATCACAGCTATAAACACAATACATAGACGTATATATATATATATATGTATACATAAGTATGATGTATGTATTTGGGTGTGTCTTTTTAGGGGCCCTCAAATCTGTGTCCTTTTGGACCTCCTTCTAAAACCATCCAAAAAGGGGTACCCTCAAAATAGCCACACCCTCAAAAAAGACACGCCCATTTATTTTATGAATAAGTCGTGACCCCGGCAGGTTCCTCCCACACATCTTTCCCCCACGTGTTTTCATCGCCTGGGCTTGAGCTCCAGCTGCCAGGATGCGGTGATGGGCACCTCCACCGCAGGCTTCTTGGACGCCCGGAAGGCGTCCTGACGTGATTAATACGAAAAAACGTGCGTCTTTAGCTTTTTTAAACACGGAGTCGTTGGTTTCCATTGTGAATTGGACCAGGGTCGGGTTGTTGAAACAAATGTTGTAAGCCGGCGGCCGCGGAGACATGCCGATGTTGTGCAAGCGGGAGTGGAACAGAAGCATAACCCCTGACCCAAAGGAATACGCAATATTCGGAGTTTCGAAGCAGTGTGGAACACGCACATGCCAGGAAGCGGAAGCAACAGCCCTGCAATGGGGGGAATGGAAGCACCACAACAAACGGGGTTTCAGCCAAAACCACCCTACTGCTATATACGGTGTAGACTGCTACCGCTGAAACCGTACAAACAAAGCAATGATTTGGATGCCCTCACTCATGATATTGGCATTGGTGTAAAGTGTTATGCTGACTGCTGCACTGCATAATGATGTTCCAAACAAGTCGTCATTCTGGATGCTGCTAAATGCCCAGCCTTTCTCCTCAATGAATGGACGCTGATTTGAAAGTTGGTTGGTAAGTCAAACTATGAAGCTGTGATGCTTGATGGAAACTATAGCAACTGGAAAAGCAAAGGTGCGGAGTGCCCTGAAGGTATCCTCTTGTCTTTCCTGCAAAAGAGAGACAGTTTCACTTGAAGAGTTTGCTCAGCAGGGCCACTCACGATGTCTGCCAAGTTAATCTGGGCTGTCAGGGTCCTCAGCTTCCAGGTAGGAGATGAAGGCAAATGATTGCGGTTCCTGGCGCGCAACATTTGTCAATGCACGGCACAAACTTAGGTGGAAGATGACCACATGTGTGAAATTAGTGGAAGGCCTTCCGAATGATGTGTTCTTCACTTAAGAGAGGCGGTTCTCTAGCATCCCAAAAGTGGCAACCAACCCCTCATTCCCGCGACCCTGGTTCAACCTTATCTACGTCTACCAAGATCGAGTCGTGCCTGAGTTGTCGGGCGCTTTGGAATGCGAGCACCTCAAGACAAGCTTGCAAGTCACCGGGATCGAGCATGACCAGCATCGCCCTTCATCGGCAGCGCCCGTGTAAAAGAAACTGCATTGACAGAATGATCCAGTTGCAACTGACCCTGACGCTATGGAAGCGCATGGAAGCTCAAGCTGCTCAGCTCCCTTCCCCACGTCGCTCAAGTCCCATGCCCAAGTCCGCGACAGACTACCATGCCTGGGTCCCAAGGGGGCAAGAATCGGGACGGGGTGATGTTGGCTGTTGTCTTCCCCCTCCTGCCAACTTGATATGGGTGTGCGCAAAAAGTAGGACGCCTCATTTTAGTATTAAATAACTGGGAGCCACATTTCCTGTAGTACACCTGTAAAGAGGAAACCAAGCTCTCTCATCACTGTGGCAGAAATCCTAAGCTACTTCAGTTCAAAGGAGAAGAAACTATGATGTCCGGCCAATTGCGTCCTCTTTCCAACAATGGAGTCGAAGCGGGATCAAACAACTGGTGCCAAGGGTGAGAGAAACTCTTTCTTCTTGCCACGATGCATGAAGCCATGCAGAAAAGAAGAGGACACCCCTGCTGCTTTTGCACGCGTCCAATGGCTGTGGGAACCCTGTGCCGCGCCAACACCCCAGCGGACCCTGCACTGAGACCACGGGCCGAAACTGGAGAAAGCCTCGACCAGAGCCTATGGTCGCTTTGGCAAGGCAAAACACGTCAGTGTTCCATTCACTGTGGCGCAACGACCACTGCCTTGATGGTTTGCCGGCCAGTGTTCAAACAATGTCGTTAGCATGTCAAGCAAATACGAGTAAACTCGGTAACGGGCAGCCGCTCAGCAGGCACAATCCAGCCGCCAAGACCCAACATCTCCTGCCTGTTCGGACAGGAAGGCGCCCAGTGGTGGTGCACCCGGCGCATCTTGCCATTGGACATGCAGGTCCTCTGGCGATTGGCACCGGTGGCTCTTACCAGCAACTCTTTCGGCATGAACAGTGAGGCACACTCTCACAAAAAACTCAGCCCGCTCTTGAGAAATGAAGGGGGACTTTGCTTTGCCAGAAGGACGAAGCACCAGTGCAATCATAAAATGATCTTCAAGCACTGGCACCCTGGCAACGAACATTGGCGAATCGAGGGAACCGCGACTTCGAGCAAAGTTGTGATCCCTGGCCCGAAATCCCGGTCCACCATGCCCTTCACAGACTTGAAGACATCATCTCGAGCATATGGATGGTGGAAGAAGACCACGGCCTCTGAGCGCAAACCCATCGACATAGGGCTCTACAACTGGGGGCTTTGGGCGCTCAAGCGCCCCCAAAAACCCATCGACTTTGATCACTCTCCTGGCCCACGTGCTTGGATGAAGGGAAATGCAGGCGCGTACCAGAAACCTGGACCTCTGGGCTGCTCCATGGAATCTCCATGTCAAAGCCCCATGGCACCGCAAGGGGACTGTCCAACACGATATGAAAAAGACATGGGAGATATCTCGGAAGTCAAGATATGTTGTAGACTTGGTGGATCTTGCCAGCTCTAAATGAAACTATACGTGAAAGGCAGGCAAGATGAGCAAGATTCCAGGGCTCGAGCATGTCTTTATGCACGCTTGAAAAAACAGCTTGGGATACCTCATCCCCAAAAAGACTCCTTTATCCCAATGCAGCATTGACCGAAAATGCTGCTTGCTGTTCTTCCATGCGAATCGCGTGCGCAAAACCCGGCAGCAAGCAACTCAAGCCCTAAAGTACGCCCTGTGGAATCTGTGGGTTTGGCCGCAGCTGAGGAAAGGGTTCAAGGACCGCTACGCCTCGAAGAAAAAAAGGTATTCCAAATCCACTCCCACGCTGAACCTTTCTCGACCACTCACGCCGCAAGACCAGAAGCTGCATTTCACATATTGAAGTAGACACGCAAAGAACATGGCTTGATTTGATTTTGTGTTCCTGAGAAACTGAATAGAATGTGTTGGATATCTGTCTGTGAAGATTGAGAATGAACGCATCTCAGCCTCTAAGCCATCGGCACCTGAGCAGCACCTAACATTGATGTAATTTTACGTGTACATAAGCCTCCCATCCGGAGTTCAGCTCGCTCGCCTCCCCCCTCCAATCTGTGGGGTCCAGGTCGTTGAGCATCCACCGCACAGAGACCTGCGCAGCGAGCGGTTTTGCCGTGTCACTGTTGACACGCCTGATTGGATGGCCTCAAAACACCAAAAGGCAGCCAAAGATGCAAACATGTGGCGAAGCATGGCTGAAGCTCAGAATTCAGGAGCGGGGAGCCACAGGGATTGACAATGCCGGAACACTATAGCAACAGTGTTGCTGGGGGCATCCTTGTCTTGTCCTGGCCAAACCTGGATGATTCCCTCAAGGCCGAAGTGGCCTTAATTCCTGATACGGTGTGCATCTGCCAATCAAAAGTGTCTGCACTGGTTTCCGTTTGGGCCTCTTTGACAAGCAAAAATACAAAGGCTCCCAACAGTTAGGGAAACAGTCCCATACCGGCCCTGCGTGATGAGCGCTGTGGCACCCCCAACCATGCAGTGTACATCCCTCCCCAGAAGTCTCGAGTGAGAGAACAGGAATGCCCTGAAACGGGAGAAAGCTGGAACAGGAATGCCCTGAAACATCAATCTTCCTCTACTTCGTTACTTCCCCCCTGGAATATTCTGCTCATTCTGCACCGCTTTGGAGGCCTCGCCGATGCCAGGAACCGCTTCATGCAAGCGCTTGGCAGCTGACGTACCCCAACCTGACAGTGCCCCAAGTGATGCCGCTCCCGCACACATGTTGAAGTCATTGTCCATTCAAGGCAGGCATAGTGCCAACCCTATCATGGGCCACAGCACATGACACTGTGAGGAACGGTCATAGAGCGATTTAGCAAGTCCTTTGACCCCCGCAAACGCAGTTGCCGTACTCAGGATCCTTGTGAAGGTTTGTCTCAAATGGCTCATTAACGTGTTTGACCGAATGAAAATGGTATTTCCGGGCGAACAGTTTAGGGATATGTTTAGGGTTCCTTCTTCGTCCCCTCTCACAAGCAAACTCAATGGAGGTCCTTGACCCACGACTCGCAATCGTTGAGTCAGGCATCGAGGCGCTGGCCCGCAGGAATGTGCCGAATCTGAGCCAACGCGAAGTGACCAACTGACCCGCGTGTTGGCTGGGCAGATTCATTCTGGTGGGGACCTCTGCTAGACCTTTAGCGTTCACGAAATGTTGATTCATCGGTTCGATTCGATCTTGACTGGATGTCTTTATTCTCTCTGATGTCAATTCATCGATTCGATGGTTCTCACGTCAGCTTGTCATCGATTCGATGGGAAAAACGGCGAGCTGATCACAAAGCTGCGGAGACTCAATCAATTCTCCATCATTGCGTGCTGATCCCCTCTGGCCCCCCGCAATTCGGACAGCGCGCGTCGCTCGATGCTCAGCGCCGTGCCACCAACTCGCGGCCGCTGCCTTCTCTGGGCGGGAAGGGCTGCGCGGGCACCTGTGGCCCATTGGAAAGGCAAAAACCCAACCTCGCGCTTTTCGGACATGTGCTTCTCAGGACAATGGCAACCAAAGCGGTGCAGTGCTCGGCCCGCAGCTGATTGTGCTGCTTCATGCATGGCCAGCCTGACACCGGGCACCCCTTCGTGGCAAAACCGATTCCCGCTAGTACTGATGGCATGATCAGAGTCACGTGCTCCAAGCAGGAAACACCAATGATTTAACATCGTCACCAAAACAAGTGCTCAAGCACATCACGAGCTTGCCATAGGATCTGATTCAAACATCAACAATACCAATTGCAAACCTTGAAGTGTGACCAGAGCTGCACAGATCGGATGCCTCCATGTACGAATGATAAAGCCCTACTCAAATAATAAACTGAACAATCCAAACGTTGCTTGGACCAAGGAGGGTCCACTCCTGATCTTTGGCCCGTGTCCCCAAAGCGGGCTTCACGGAGTAAAGAAAGCATGCCGCTTTTACTGGCTGATATCCTGGTATTTTCGGGAACCCTGCGGGAAGCATAGATTCGAATTCAATTGTTTGTGGTGTTCTTGCGGGGTTGCGTTGCCTCAACATGGGGGCCTGTCCTTGGCTTCTCCCCTTCAAACCTGTTCGAACTCCTAATGCGGGTGAATGGCTATTGACTTCCTTCAAAACGACCCAACAAGGCCGGTCCCTTCGACCACGATTTGGCACATGGGTGTGGGGTCCCATTTTCCAAGCTGTTTTAAGGGGAAACCAACAGGAGACCCCGCCATTGTGGGGTGCCCCTTTGAGACGAACCAACATGGCCTCATGGACAGGCGCGCGGCTTCCACCGCATCCAGAGGCTGGCGGTCTGCCTCCTCTGGTGTGGCCTAGCGCTCGGAAGATGCGGCGACGGACGGGCATAAGTTTGGAAGAGTCTGTTTGAGGGTTCTAAAGACAAAGTTTGGGGATCGGCTCTTGTTGAGGATAAGTTTGCTTTGAAGACAAAGTAAAAAGCAAGCAACCAGGAACCCTCACAACAGGAGCCTTCTCCAACGTTGTGTTGGTCCATGCAGGGTTTCCGCCTCTTTGGCTGAAATTCCGAAAGCCGGCTGAAATATGGCGCAAAAGCCCGTTTTCTGAAGGAGAGCCCTGACTGAATCACGGGGACCGCAAATGAGCATGCACCACAAAGAGCAAGGGTGTCCAAGACAGCGAGTTGAGAATGTATCAACAGCGGGTTCTCTCGGAACGTCAGTAGTGCCTTGCTGTTGTACTTGATCTCTTGTTGGAGCAACCAGAATGAAGGATCCGCACTTGCAACGCATCCGTTTAAAGGACAAAGCAAATCTGGGAGGTACAAACTGAAGTGCTTTCAGCGCGTTCATGACTTGTGACCCGAAATGTAGGCTGCTGACATGTAGCACAAACAATGGTGCACCCATTGTCTTCTCGTGCCAAGCAGCTTGTGTTTGGATTCCTCACCGTCATTTACGGAATCCGCAGTGTCTTGTGAGAACCCCAGCTGCAAGTCTTGTCGCCCTGTCTCACCACTCCCGAGGGCCACTCTCTTGGAGGGCGAGCCGTTTCTCCGAGAGCGCCAAGTGCCGGGCTGCTATCAGCAGAACTCTCTCGCCGATGTACCGCAAGGGGTGGTACTGGTACCTCAGGTGCCCGACAAAGGTAGTTGCCCTTCAATGTCTCGGGCAAATGGTCAAGTCATTGGCCTATGATTGGTGTCCCTCAAAATGATCCCCCCCCCCGGCCCAAAAAAATGACCACCAAAGGGTTCCTGATCAAATTCATACCAATTTCAGTGCCACTGACAAGCGAGAAACCGCTTCATGCCTCACAACGATCTCTCAGCAGCCCGCTTCTTGCGGGTGTCCACTGGAAATAGCCTGGCCGTGCGGGTCGCACGATGCGATGCGGGCTGTATGTCGTGAGCGATCAAAGGTGTCCCCTGCGGATGTGAGATCCCAAAGGCTAAAGACGGATGCACAAGGTCTGCGGCGCAGCGTATCTGGCTTGGGGGTATTGATTGACGGGATGTCCTTGAGAGGTCTAGCATGGTCTGATTCCCAGGCCCTGCAGTGCTGTCATGGATTCATGGGATCTGAGAGCCTGGCAATGCCACATCCACCAGAGGCCCGTGCCAAAGCTTCAACGCCTGTTTGGCCAGCAGTGCAAATTCTTTAAACAGCTTGCGCAAGAGCATGAAAGTCAAGGGCACAAAAGTGGATGACGCTATGCTCCTTCGCCGTGCACACCTCGCAAATGTGTATATGGATCACGCACGCCTTGCATGTATGTGTGTCTGTATGTCTTGTTCGTGTGCATCTGCATCATGTGCAGCTTGCGCATGTGAGACTCATTCATCATGTATGCCTGGCAGCAGGTATGTACCTTGCTTGTTGTCTCATTGCAATCCGGCAAGTGTATCTCTTGAGATATGATCACAATGTATTCTACGTATATAATATCGTACGTATGTCTTATGCGTATCTTATGATATTGTGTTGACTACTGTGTGCCCTTCAAGATGAACCCATCGTATTGCTTCACATATCGGGAAGATCGGATGTCCATTCTGCCTCGAGATCAGCGCTCAAGCAATGCCCCACCAGGATGGTGCGCGGCCTGAAGTAGTCAGCCGCTTTGATCGCTTGACCGTTTCAGTGTGCAAGCATAGATTCCGGACGCCTTTGACGTTTGGCATGATATACTATACCCTCCCAAATATCAACCTGGAACCTCCTAAAGCAAGGAACATGGTCTTCCAGGACCCCTGGAACCCGTCGAATGTCAGGTTCCATGTCAAAAGGGTGGGCTAGAAACTATCACGGGTTTTGGACGCCCAATTCGCCCGCCAGTTGCAGTCGCCTTCCGCCCGGCCTCAGCCGTTCCAGCAGCTTGCTCTGCACATCCTCGAAGGGTATGGAATCCGACTCCAGCACCTGAACGGTGAGATCAAACCTTTGGATGGTCTGTTGAAGGGGAACAACAGGCACCAAGCAGCTTTGAAGGTCAAAAGCAAAAGAAGAGTGGAACCGTTGGAAAGCAACCATCCTGTAGGACACGCCCTTCTACTCGCCTCCTTGCTGATTCCAGTGATGTGAGAGCGGCAGTCCAGCAATTTGCTGCGCGGAGAAGCGTAGAGGTCCAGCAACAGCTGGCCTCGCATCTCGACCATGTCGGTGCTGAAAACCACTGGTTCGACTGGTTCCCACCATTTTGGTGAACTGAATGTGAGAATGCATCTCCGGAGAATGTGATTTGGGATTCAAATCCCGAAATGGGATCCCGAATCCTGCATATCCCGCATCCCGAATCCCGGATCCCAAAACGGGATTGTCAAAGCCCGCAGTTGGGATACATTGGGATAATATAGGGATTTGCGAATCCCGTTTTGGGTTTCGAGTCCCGAATCCCAAAAACTGGATTGGGATTCGCGAATCGCGCTTTGGGAATCGCATCCCGATTTGCGGAGCTATCCCCGGATCGCCACGAGTGAATGTTGTATTGGTGTAGTGGTTGGGGGATCCATGAGGTGGTGGTACTGTGTCATGGTGTCACGGGTACACTCCCGAGTTTCCTGAAACCCCACAGGCCAAAGGCTCGTGGAACATGCGGTCGGTTCCTCTGTGTGGAAACGATGTGGCTGTCCCTCGCGGAAATTGCGGCCATTACCGTCTTTTCGCCGCACTATTGGCAGCGGCAACGTATTCACCAAATTGTTGAACAGGACGCACATCTCGCCGATTCACCCGCCCCTCACCAACGGAAAGCATGGGCCCACGGAAAGCATGGACCCACCCACGTGGAAAACAACAACAAAGCAGATCCCGCCTTTCTCATCCACCGCGGCCAGCCTTGCAAGGTGTCGTGGGTCGTAGCCGCTGGCTGTGTCCCCCACCTGGCTGTCCACCCCCCTGCCCATGCAAAGCGTCCAACCTGCCCAAATGGCCAGGCCCACGTACACCAGAGAAGTTGCGATCGCAATAGCCTAGGCCAAAGCAAGCGGGCAGTTCGTGAGGATGCGAATCGACCCAACGTCCGTCCTGTTGGAAGTTCAGCAAGTCTCCAGAAAGGCTCTTTCTGCACAAGTACGGGGGGCCATGATGCACCTCCTCATGCGCCAACAATATTTAGTTTCAATGGTGAAATTCCTCAATCATGCTGTCAAGGAAACCAAAAAAATAGACTCAATTCCAACCCGACTGGACTTGCCTGCCTGCTCTAAAAGCACCGGTCCCCTAAATGGAGCCAAGATGCTAAAGGCTCATCTCCCTCAGATGCCTCCGGCTCCTGCCAGCGTCTTGGGATCAGGGGTTCCTCTGCCTCCATGAGGCGCACAAATGTTCCAAACTCAAATAAACGCATAGTCAACGACCAAACTCTGAGCCCATGTCAACAGTGCAGAGCAACTTGGGGATGGGGAAGCCTGCATCGAGGCATTGACGATGCAGCTCCTCCACCCACCGGGTGTCTGAGGTCATTGGAGGCCTCAGACCGGAACTCTCTCACGACATTTCTACTGGCAGCAACTCGCCGCCTTCACATTGACCGACATCAGTGCAACGAGACCTGTTTGATTGCACCGCAATTTTCATTGGTGCATCCCAGGTCTGAAATGGGCAGCGTGGCTGGGGCCCGCGCTGTCGAAATTCGGGGTGCTGCTGGGTGCGGCTGAGCAGCCAGGTCCAGCTCTGGCCGAGGGAGCCGGGATCCCGCGCAGAAAGAGATCCACTTTGCGCATTCGGCGCTCGCAAAAGAGAAACCAACAGTTTGGAGTTGGCGCAGAAAGTCTCTGTCAATGCTCGCATGCTGCATGCTGCCAATGTCTCTGCGCATGTGGCATTTCAATAGTCTCTTCGAACTCCAGCTGGCTGCACCATTGGCCACGCCAACTCTTGGGGCTCCTCTGGATAGCAGACAGCAGCCGTCAAATCAAATCGCAGGTAGCAAGTTTGCCTCGAGGTCTCACATGAGATCTCAATTCGATCCCCCGCACTCCTGCAGCTTCTGCCGCTTGTCTGGCTGGTCCTGGTTTTGCTGAGCAAAGATCCTATAAAACGAGCTTCCAGGAAGCCCAAACGTTCTTGTTTCATTGTGGGTCTATCATTGTCCTTCAAAACACATGAGCAACGCCCAACACCTACCGGTTTGTGGTATTAACATGATTATATAGGTTTATGTGGTCCTAAACCTCAATCTAACCACTTAGAACCACCGACTAAAATGGCCAATAGGGATTTGGGCGCTGCTCACATAGGATCTTAGGGCAGTTGAGTGCCCCTTCTGGTTGAGTGGCGGCAAAGCAACGTTTCAGGAGCCCGGACCCCAGTCTGGTCTATGTTTTGTGGATTTACTAGAGATTGCTGGGAAAAACAAAGTTTGATCAATTTTGATGCAAGGTCTGACAACAAAAACTGGCCCCCTTGAATAGAGCACCTTCCAGTTGAACCTTCTTGAGCTTGTGGGGATAAAATGGCTTCATCTTGGATGCTTCAGGATCCACAATGGGTTTCCAATAGCCACTGCACAGAATCCATGCCATGTGTGTGTCTGGATCCCGTCGGTCCCGACTTTGCCGGCCATGTTTGGATCATTCCCAGTCCAAATTCCTCATGGACCAAATGACCTTTGCCGTGAGGCCACTTTAAATTATTGAGGGACGTGCGTTGCAGCGGTGACTTTTTCCGAATTTGCGCTGGGCGTGGATTGAGCTGCATGATTCAACTTACGAAATCTAGCAAGCCCTCCAAAGACATGGGTGAAAGAGACAAAAAAAACAACTCTATCACAGTGAAACGGAAAGATTCTTTGCATGGGCCGCCGCTGCTAAAGCTTGGCACGGAGCCCGTGGCAGGCACATGCAAAGGGCAGTAACAATAATCTGGAAAAGCTGCGAACTCTGCGCGTTTGCGCGTTTCCGGCTCAGCCCTCATGGCTCAGCCATGAGCTTCCTCAAGGCTCGAAGGTGGCTCTGGACATAGAATGGTTGCACAATGCATGCCAGCCACACAGAAAAGACAATAATCAAAGCTTCCGGCATGCTGACCTCAAGCGGCTTTTGGCGAAACTCCTCGATGTAGCGTTGCAGAGTGGCCAAAATCGAAGCACTCAGAGCTGGCACGAGTAATGCTCCAAGAGAACGTTGGACTATCTTGTTTCCTCTACTGTCAGGATGCCGCATAAATGTTCTCAAGATCGCCCAGCTCTCACAGAAATGGGTCAACAATCCCACACGCAAGGGATAATAGCAACGATCAAGGAGCAAACGATCCCACGAATATGGGTTGAGATGGACAAAGGCAGACAAAGAGGCTCCTAGGCCAAAGCCCAGAAGATGATGCTCGAACATGTGACGCATGTGAACTCCTTGTAGACCAATCCATCGCAGCACAAGAGCATTGAAGGAATCGAAGCCATATACAAAGGTGTACAACCAGATACCAACGCGGGCCTTCTTCATTACCTCTGACACCGGCTCGACAGTGGAAAGAAGTACCGCTCCACGACGAGTGCATTCTACGTAGCATGCCAGGGACAGGACACGAACGGGCCATGGAGCCAGAACTCCATAGTTCGATGTGCTCAATGCGCTGCCCATTGGGGTTGAGGCAACAGTGACCAGTAAAGAAGGTTCTGCTGGACAAAATCTCGCTGGCTTTGCCTAAGAAAAACTTAGTCTCCTGATAGCACGGGAGCAACCCCCAACAACCAGGCATGACATGCCGTGCCTGAGGGGGTTAGCCCTTTGGCCTCTGACCCAGGTTGCTGCGGGGCCGACAACTTCTGCATCTTCAAAAGTTCTGCTACAGTGCTTCTAGCTTACAAACTCGAAAAATACGGAGCCATCCCCTGTTAATATCTTAAAACTCATGTGCCAAACGTTTCTTCCTCAATGACCAGCTTTCTTGAGCAACTATTCAAACACAAGTGCCAACATGATGCCGGGCCAATTTCCTGCGGTTTACCTCGGCATTTTTGTTGATTGGGTACAAGGGCATGTGTGAAGGGTCCTTCCAAGACAAATTCGGAGGAAGCCCTGGTTCTTGGGGTCGCCTTAACAAACATCCCCATGCGTCTGATCCCAACGCACTGAACATCTAAGGACACAACTGCGACTCAACTTTTATCGAATCCCAACTGCGAAGAACGTGAGGCCCCCCACAAAGGACACATGTATAGGGTGTCTTGCTATATTTACAAGGGATCTAAGTTGGACCCATTGAGTTCTCATCTTTGATGTCCCTTTCATATTCTCCATGTTGAGACATACCCCTACGGGGGAACTCCCAGCTGGGTGGTTTCTTGAAGACAGGGACCTGCCTCAAAAGACACACCCTCCCGCCGGCATGCCATGGATCCTTTCTGGGGGGTCCTGGTTTGCACTCCGGACTTTCCTCTAATAGTGACTTGGTGGGTTCCATCGGGAGAAAGCCCTGGGCGCGGTCGCGTGCCCCCGTTTTCAGAAGGGTCCAAGAGACAAACTCTTGGGCCAAGCCACGGGCTCATTCCCTCCAGGTTCAACTCCTGATACCCGAAAAATGGAGCCCTAGCCATCGGTTTTTCCTTCTCACACACGGCTGGCCTCCGCGCCGTCATACGCCGACCTCAAGGCGGGGCGGGAGCCAACTGGTCCCATCGGTAGAGGTGTGTCTCGTTCTTGTGTTTGTGTGGGGTATGGTGAGACTTGCTATGCTGCTTTTGGTTGAGTGAGCTGCTGGCTGGGGGGAAAAAGAAAGACCAGCTGCAGCTGTTTGAGCCTTGACTAAAAATCGCAAAGACGCCCAACAAAGAAAAGTATTAAGCTTGCCAGCTCAATTGGCGAGGGAAAGTTTTATTGGGATCCCGGCAGAACAAATCGCTGGTTGATGATAAGGCGACACTTCACTGTCTTTTGGTGTCGCTGCGGCCCGTTTTGACACGAATCAATTGATCTGGGGTTGCCCTTGAGCAGCCCCCCCTCAAGGCACCGAGCCATCTCACCCAGCCCACTTTGACCGAGACCGGGGCAGCTTCTCCAAAGCACCCTCCTCGAGCGAAAGGTGACCAATGATCGGAGTAGGAGATGTTTTTGTTGGGGATGTGCACGTTTTTGCGGGTTGATTTCATCGAAAATGGAGCCGCCCCACTTTCTTGGGCTGCCCCATTCTTAGGAGACACGGCCGGATCGCTACTACGGGACAATGATATATATATATATATATAAAATACAAGCAGCTTGGCTGCTAATTAGTTGGTTTGTTCAAGCAGGCGCACCTGAAGAAATTGACACCTGCCCGTCAAAAGGAAGAACTTCAGCAGTGGTGAGTCTTCCCACGAAACCTTTTGAAATTGTTTACGAACAGGCCACACTAACAAGGTCCAACCTGCATTGCAACGCCACGAACTCCGTGCTCCACCCGAGGCAACACTTTGACAACGATAGCAGCGGCCTGGTCCCGCTTCTTGGATTTTTTCACCTGCGCCGCGATGGCTGCGAAAATGCGTGCGACTTGATGCATTGCCAGCGCTTTCCAAACAACCTGCCCCCGGACAGCCCTGGTCGGATTGCTCGCCGGCAAATGAGGCACTGCAGGCCATCCACGAAGACTCCGCGGCGTTCTCCAATCACAACCAGAATGTGCTTGAAACATGGATTGACAAGTTATGGAGGAGACCAACCAACCAAAAGCAACCCCCACCCTTCCACGCCTTCTTGGATGGCTCGGGCTTTGGAGCCTCCTGCACTTGCACCTGACAAGAACTCTGGCTCTTCCACATCGGCAGCTTCTTTGTGGCGTCCTTTACCCGCATTCAAATCCGTTCAGTGCGCCTCAGGCGCTGGTGCGGTTGCAAATGGATCGTACTCCTGGCAGATCGAAGGCATGATCCGAGCGATGCCTCATAGGCTTGCCACACTTGCGCTGCTTAGCTTCAGCTTCTTGTGTGAGGGCAATCAAATGTGTCGCCCTCTATCCAATGTCTCACAGATTGGATGAAAAGCACCTGCAATGTTGCACACGTGTGCTATCCGCGCGAAAAAGGGCCATAAGGAACCTGGGAGGGTTGCCTTGAAAGCTTCAAGCATAAGAAATGGTATCAATAAAATAAAGAATTCAAATACGTTGGGTGCTGGTTCACCGCTCGCGGGCCGCACAAACGGAAATCAATATCCTCAAACCTATCACTATATGGATGCTTGAACACAAACACTACGGAACTTTGGATTGATAAAGCATCACTAAAATGACGGTGGTCTGCCAAAACTCTCGTGTCCACTTCAATGATTGTTGATCATGAGGATAGGTTTTGTGTGTTCTTGCTTTTTGCTTGGGTATGCTTGGCAAATACCAAGTGCTATCATTGAATTGGACACCCTTGAGACTTTGTCGTGGTGGATTGCCTTCAGACAATATGTTTGTCATTCTGCTCTAAGCTGACCGAGCTGGTGGTGTTCCATCGCGAGCGGAAAGCATCGCTGCTCTTGCAACGTTATCGGCTGCTCCTAGATGCGCGCACAATTGCTGCGCGTAGTCGCGCAATCGCGAGTTGTGCTCCGTTGCGCCTGGCTGCGATCAGTTTTGCGCAGCGACTGATAATTAGGCTAAGCGCTAACCAAACGCGGTCCCCAAACCAGCTTGGTTGAACTGGGCAAGGTCCATGACAGCCGATCGCGACAATGTCCACTTCCATTCCAGGATTCCCAATGCAAGTGCCACTTTGGACTCCCCGCCTCCTCCGGCTCCGGAGGCTCGCTGCCTGGCTGCCGGATGTCCTGGCCGCGCTGGTTAGATCCACGGTCCGCGGCCGGTTGCCCTTTGGTTTCTCTTTTCAACCGCCCCGAAGAGGGTGCCCTCAAAAGGTCACTCCTGAGAAGGCATGGCATAGAATAAAGGTGAATCTACAGGTTCCTGGAGAGGCATGGACACAGAATAAAGGTTGGCATGGTTCATCCTCCACACAGGAGTCGTGCCTTCCGGTTTGTGGGACAATGGGAGAATCGTCCTGAGATGCAATGTTATCCTTGCTCATTTCAGGACTTGGGCATGGCATTTATTGAACCGAAAGCAAACCAACCATTTCTGGGGTTCCCTGCTTTGGGCCATGTATTTCGCCAACCAGTGACGATAGAGGGCAAGTAAGACAATACACAACTTGAGTTCGAGGAAGTGGGCCAATGGCCACTCACCAACGCACAATACAACCCTACCCCGCTCAAAGGTCCACTTTGACAGGTGTCTCGTGTCAAGTTTCTGGACAGGATTCTTCACACCTGGTGTCAAACAGGGTTGGGCTAACTATCTGTTGGAGCTAGTTACTTGAGGACCATCCATTGTTTGAAAAACCTCAACGGGCCATGGCTCTTAGTGTCAAAAGAAAGTCCGCCGCGGATTTGCCGCCTGCGGCTGCAGGTTCAGCATGGTTCGCAGGCGGAACACATCGCCGGCATTCAGCGCCTGGGAAGTTGTGACCAAATCGGATGGCTCAAGCATCCACCTGCAAAGGCTGCGAAGGTGTGGGAGTGGCGTTCTGCTGGGCCCATTGGCTGCAGTTCGGAATTTGTCTCTCGACTCCACGGTGTCTGTGAGGGGTCTGTCGGCCTGGTCGACTTCTGACAGCTTCTTCAGGTCTGTGGCCTCAGCACCCCCGGGGTGATACGAAGAGTCTTACACAGCTGGGCTAAACTAACGACTTGCGAGCGCTCAGACCATTGTCCATACTTCAGGCACGCTGCTCTGAAATCAGCTTAGGGCGCGGCAAACTCGATGAAGGTTCGCACCTTCTGGAGGCCAGACGGATTCAGAATCTGCCTTGGTGCAACCAGCCAACGCACCACGAACGACCTAGATTTCAAGACCATTCCAATGAGCAAGAATTCCCATCTTGGTCGCCCATGGAGGAAACGGGTAACATGTCCCATGAAACAATTGGGCTGTAAAGAGGCGCCCACATAAGCCGTCGTTTTGACTCCGAAGGTCAACATGGTGAGAGAAACACCGTAGCTTCTAAAATCCGGAACACCCACACCCCGCAAAAAAGAGCAAAACAATAGAAAAGAAGCTTTGGTACCCCTTGACCACAAAAAATGTCCACATGTGTGTAAGGCACGGCGGCTCACGCTCAGGCTGCTGCGCTCCCAGCGGCAAGGGCTGACTGCCAAAATGTGGGCGTGTAACTTTCTGAACTACTCACAACCCCCGAAGACCAACTCAACCATTTTTCGTGAGCCGAAGGAAAGCCACACGTTTTGGAGGTCACATGGCGCTAGCCTTCGTGGTGCATGGTGCACGGTTTCCGGTGCAACGAGTCTTGTGTTTGCTGGGGCTGTTGCTGCCTATGGCTCTTGGTCAGAGGTGTCGTCTCTCTCAGAAATTGTGACCCGGCATGAGGCCGTTCATAACCAAGAGTAGTCTGCCAGACCGGGAGCTATATTGCGGTCATGACGGCACCATGGCGTGGAGTACTGTAAGGAAGAAGCATGAAGGAAAACTCACATGTCAGTAACGCAACTGCTCCAACTGGACTCTCTGGCTCTCTCTTTCCAAGCTGTCAAGCAGAAACGTTACTTCAGCCAAAACGACGCGACCGGAACGCGGGACTTCGATGCTGGAAGTCGCATCTGGCCTCTCGAAGTCTGCGGGGCCCAGCTTCAGGCGTGCCGCCAAGGCGCCGGAGATCCTGATCAGATAGCTCTGGTGTTTGCGAGAAAACAGTTTGGGTGCGGATGTATTTTGTTTCTTCCCTTTTTTCCGCTTTTTTATTTTTATCTTAAAGTTTTTCATCCGGGCCAGTAAAGTGTCGTATTTTACAGAATTTTCTCGCGAAATTCACGCATTTTACACAAGCTCGTCAGTATCCCCAGCATCGATTTCAACATCACCCGCATGTCCAACCAACATCCCTAGCATCACCAACAAATCGTGGGTAACAAAATCAAAAAAGTAGCTGGTGGGTTGACGGGATCAAAAAATGATGATTCAAATAGGAGGGCATTTCAATCCCTGAAAAACAAAACAATAAAAAGTAGCGGGGTGGCGGCAGCCCCCCCCATGATGTTGGTTGCAGAAGTGATGATTTGTACAGGGGTGCAATTAAATCTCTGCAAAAAGTCTAAAACGTAGCGGGGGGTTTGGGGGGGGGCAGCAGCCCCCCCCCCCATGATGTCGGAAGAAGTGATGATTCAAGTAGGGGTGCAGTGATTCAAGAAAGGGTGCGATAGAATTTAAAAGGCAGCGGGAGGGTTGGCGGGGGTGGCTTCCCCTATGATGTTCGAAGAAGTACATACATACAAACATACATGGATTACACAGAATACCTAAAATGTCGTATTAGGGGTGCAATTACTCTGCAAGGTGGGTTGCGGGGCGGGCTTCCCCCCCATGATGTTCGAAGATTCAAACAGGGAGGAACTGGTGATGCTGATGATGCGGGAAGCCACATCCAAAAACCAATGCAAAGCCCGGAAAGCAGAGGATGCAAAAAGCTAAAGCTGCCAAAAGCCGCACAAACCAGCGAAAAGCCGCAAAAGCCAAAATGCCACCTGCCGAAGAGGAACTGGGAATGCAGAGGATGCGAAAGGCCAAAGCCAAGAAGCCGAAAAGCCCAGAAGCTGAGAAGCCAAAAAGCCAAGAAGCCAAGAAGCCGAAAAGCCAAGAAGCCAAAAAGCCAAGAAGCCAAGAAGCCAAGAAGCCAAAAGCCAAGAAGCCAAAAAGCCAAGAAGCCAAGAAGCCAAGAAGCCAAAAGCGGAAAAGAAAAAAAACGAAAACACATCCTAAAATACATACCCCTCCAAACAGTTTTGTGGGGTACCCTTTTTGGGAGGTTTACAGCGACACAGCTGGACCTTTCGGACTTTGACATCCTGAGATTTCACGCTTTGAAATCCCTGTCTGCCAGCTTTTGTGGAGGCATACCGCCGAATCATTTCGTGATTTGCTTCTGTACGTGTGAAATATTATTACTCGCGAAGGGCATACTTCGTATGCAGGGGCTGAATTACTTATGAAGCAGATACTCAGTAAGGTTTGTTCTGCTGAAGCCCAATTACAACACCAATGGGAAGCTACCATCAAACAAAGGGCATTGGAATAAAATAGAAGATCTATCTCAGCCTGAGATAACCTACCTTCGCCGGAATGATGTTCCATCGTGCTTACACGGTCTGGTGGAAAGTGAACCTTCGTGGGAATTGCGCTTGCGGGACTTGTGCTTTTTGAGTGCGTCAATCTGCCAAAGAGCAATTGACTGCACCGGGCCAGTGTTTTGGGACTTCAAGAAGCTTAAGCTCCGAGATAACCCTTAAAAAAAAAATAATAATAACGTAAACCCAAAAAACGTTAAACCTAACCCTAAACGCCCAAAACCTAAGCCCAGAAAGCCTTAAACCCAACCTAATCCTAAACCGTAAACCCTAAATCCTAAACATAACCCTAAAACCTAAACCCCAAACCCTAAACCTAAACCTGACAAGGCAGAACGTATGGATTCGGGTACGCCTGGGCTTGTGTGTATGTGTGTGTGTGTGCATCCATCCCAACTAGGCGCGGCCATTCAGTTGAACACATGCATCTTCGTCCTGCCCGAGTCAAGCGCGCGCTCGATTTCCTCCTGAGAAGCTGACGAGAAGAGAAGCAAAATGAAGTAGTCAAACAAACATGTCCGATGATGCTGAACACACCGCTCCGGCTAAACCAAAGAAACATGAACATGTCTGCACACTTGTTCTTGTTTTGTTTTTTTTTCAACTGTTCGAGTTCGACATAAATCTCAGTATATACATGCACGGCAAAATCATGCAGCGGCGCCGTGAGTCTGAGCATTGCACGAGATCATCCAGCGTAGGCGCCTAAGAGCAACAAAACGCTCTGCAATCCTTGAGGGCTGTTCACAAAGGGGATGTTTTTCGTTGACCCCTTTTGCGGCCTAGGTAACAAGGCCACATGGTTTTAAAAGTCAGGCCCTTTCTTGTTGAACCCTTGTGTGAAACATTGGAGCTTGTGAGAGAACCAGACGCATCATTGTATTCAGGAAGCACAAAGTCTGTGGCAATTGCAAAGGCCTCGGGAGTTCGGGCTGGAGGATCACGCGAGGTGTCCATTCTGGCCCTTTGGGGCAATCGAGCAGTGACACCACTGAGGGGAGTCGTCCTCAAGTTTTGATATTGCATGAGTGGTTCTAAAAATAAGGTCCCAAACAATTGGTTGGGTTGGTTCATTTAGGGTTCCCTCTTGCATAACATCCAACACAAAATCCTCGATTTCACCACCCCCTCATAGCCATGGAATCCAGCTGCCCCCCTCGCCTTCTTGACAGCTCGCCGAACTTTGGCCTTGCCAGCCTGCAACAGTCAAGGCATGGAGCCCCTGCTTCGAGTGGGATCTGGATCGGGGGCGCACCCCAAAATGGGTGACCCTCCAAATGGTTGACTTCTTTGGAATCCCTTTAAACCAAAGGGGGGGACCCCTATTCCAAGACACCCCCCTTTGCAGGAAGCGGTTCTTGATCATGCTTGCAAAGGGATGACTCATGTAATTGCCCAGGATGTCGTGCCGTCAAACACATCCTGCCTCGCTAAGACGTTGCTGTGGCTCCGGCGGGCTAGGCGCGGGGCCTGCAAAATGCAATGCCATCAAACACTTTGGCGCAGCTCACCCCAGGTTGCACTGGGAGACACCCGCCCTCGGTCAGTGGCTCCGTCAACATGTGCTACTCACGGTACTGTAGGCAGGTTCCGGTTTAGAGAGCACCCTATCGGTTTTCAACGCTTGGTTTGTAGTGCCTAAGTTTGTATGAAAATGATCGACGAGTGTAGTACGCGAAGGACACTTTGACAGCCCCGGCTTGAACATCACAACTTTTCAGTACACAAGTAAAATTCGACGTACACTGCAGCAGCTCCAGCTCAAAAATCGCAACTTTTCTTGCCAAACACAGTTTGGCAGCTCCGGCTCGAAAGTCGAAGCTTTTCAATGCAAGTCTAGTGTGCCAAACACAGTTTGGCACCTGCGGGTCGAGCATCGCAACTCTTCAGTGTGCACTTGGCATGTGACTCTCCAGCATATTCTGGCAACAAAAGCAATACACACTCACAAGCTAAAGGTGTCGTTCTTTGAGAGTCCCCCATCATGTTTCGTGGCTTCAATTTGAGCTAATATGGATGTCTAAGTGTAGACTACTTTGATTTCCCATGAATTCTTGTCACAGTTCTCATGGCTCCGTTGCGTTGAACCAGCGACACACCCAGTCGATGGCGCAAGCTTGCGCTCCCTTGCAGCTTCTGAGTTGGGCGGTCGTCAAACAGAGCCGTGCGAATCCGCTTTATGTAAAGTCGGGCCAGATTGAGATCAGGCTTCTAAAACAGAATGGGCCATGCTGGGCCGGCCCCTTGCAAACACGCTGGACAGATCGCCGCTTTTTGCTCCTCTCCCATGCATCAAGAGACAAGGTCTGGCCAGGACAAGGATGTGTATGGACACTGACCATTTGCAAGGGCCCCGAATTCGACTCAGCCCAGCTTCGGCCCAAGCGTCAGGCAGCCGGGTTTTCGACGCAGCAGAACGCTCAACAGCAGTCAGGGCTGTCGCTGGCATCTGTCTCTCTAGCAGTGCCGCACGAATGAACGTGGTCTGCACACAACGCATCCTCGTGGAACTTGGTCTCTGAGGCGTGCTTATGGCGCCGGGATGCCACATTTAGGCGTGTCATCGGTGCCCCTTCGCGCACTCGCTTCTGTCCGCGGGTCCGCAGCAGCCACCAAGTCTTCAGTCGTTCTTCCTGGCTGTCGGCTCCTTCACCTCTGGCTCCTCCATTTCCGGCCCCTTCACCTCTGGCTCCTCTAGGAGGTCAGCATAGTAGTCCTCCCCAAGGAACTTGCCCTCCCGCACGTAGGACCAAATGTAAAAAATCACCACAAGGACCACCCAGCCAACGAAGATCTTGACAAAAATGCCCTCAGTTGGCGGCTCCTTCAACGGCATTTGAATGAGTGTCCAAGTCTCCGTACAAGGTGGCTTGAGCTGAAGACTGCCAGTCTAAAACTTGGGAGCTTCAACAGAGTCCACACAAGTGCTGAATATGCGTGGATGAACAAATGTGCCAACATCTCTCTGACGCCCTGGTTTCAACGCACTAGGCGCAAGCTGATGACATGACTTCCTACATATGTGGTGGCAACAGTCGCAGGTCGCGCATCAACGCCTCAACTATGCAAGACTGGCCATTGGTTTGCCGTTGTCAATGTCACCCTCAAGTGGTAGGCTTCATGGGAAACCACACCTGTTGAATTTGACACGCCTGAAAGCAACCCAAATGATCAGGCAATGCCCAACATCAAGCGCTTCAGCCCGATCCCGGGACCATGCCCCGCCTCTGAGGAAGTCCGCAGGCTGAAGTGGCCTTGGCCCCAGCGGCGTCGCCGGTGGCAGCGGCGGTGGCGGGGGGGCAGCCTGGCGCACGAGCCACGGTCAATGTCCGGCCGTGCGAGTCTGAAGTGTCCAAAGGGTCTTGGGTCTATGCCCGATGGAGTCTATGCTAAAATCTCAAGATTTTCCGCTCAGAAATTCGGGCCTCAGAAGCAGCAGCGGACCTAATTTCGGAAAGAAACTCAAATACAACTGGCAGCAGGCGACATTGCAATATACTTGCCACATCGTTGCTCCTTGAAATGAGCCCCCCACCCTGCAGGCTCTTCAGCTATGTCCGCCAACGAGACCGGGAAGAGGTCCTGGTCAAACGCACTGCAGCGAGCCCTACCTCATAGGTCATTCCAAGTTCTCTGTGGTTGAGACAGCTTTCTAAACCCAGTTGCGGCCGAAGAGAATTATCAAATCCCTTCCGCAAAGGCTTCCGCCCACCTGTCGCGGAATGAAAGGTTCTTTTCACGAGGACTTTTGAAGAGGGAATAGCTTCCGCTTCGCTCTTGCGGAGTGAGACATGGGTTTGAAGTTTGTTTGAGCTTCAGCTCCTGCAGGAAACCTACAACGTCTTATCTTTGTAGCCCTTCCGCAAAACTTTCGCGAGTACATAAACCCGTTCCGCGAACCTTTTGCGGCGCTTCCGCGACTAGGACGTATCAACATGTTGCAAACAATTTATCATTTGCCTGGAGAGTCATGTCGACCAACCTCTCAAGGAAATCACAATTCCAAGCCACTTGCTGCACTCCCAAGCTGTTTTGATCCCCACAATTCCCAGGCACCGCCAGAAAACCCAACCCTTCGAGCGTCCCCTCGTAGTGCCAGTCCTCCGCCAGTGAGGTGGCCAGCGTCTGGCCGGTGGCCGGGTCATACTCATAGATCACCGGCCGCGGCATGGCGGAAACGTCATGCGCATCCAAAGTGCGCAGGCTGCCGTGAGTTTCACGTAGGGATGCTTTGGTGGACATGTGGGGATTAATTTACGGAATTACGTTCAACTGCACTTGTTGAGGTGCTGTCCAATAGACTCATAGCCAGACTGCCAAGCTCGGCCAGATTCGCCCAACAAATCCATCATCGCCTCAACCTTTTTTGGTCTGTGACTTCTAAAGAACAGAAAAGGTATGGTGGCATGAAAGTGTCAGCTGGTTGCGTGCTGGTTCCTGGAAATGTCGGCCCAATTTTCGGGAGGCGGGAATGACTTGGAAGCTTTGCACGAGATCGCGGAGCTCGTCATCCACCTACATTGGCATCAAATTCGCTTGAAGACACACGCAAAGGAAGCCGCGATGCAGTTCCAGTGGCGCAACGCTCGATACAAAAATATTGCCTGTGAAGGGGTGAGTTGTGCTGCTCCAAGTCGCACCAGAATTGATTGACAGCAGTGGTGCAAACAAGTCAGGCACCAAACTTTGGATGAATACAAACCCTCAACATGTATGGGCCACAGCTTCTTTCATCTCGGAGGGACACACCCTAGACTATTCTAAGGAATGGTGGTGCTGCATGTTTGGCCCTGGCAGAATCCATGAGAGGCTGGTTTCACTTGTCCGGCAGGTGTCCTCAAACCACTCAACATGAGTTCCAAGTCCAGGGTTCCTGCAAAACACGAGCTCCTCTAGCACGAGCTTGCCAAAGGGTTTACTAGCGTCCCCCTGATTTCAACGTCTGTGCTCATTTCTGCGATGCAGTTCTGTGGTGAAAGGCATTCGCCTTGCCACTCTCACATGCAGCCTGCATCCTCGCACACTGTCCGCTCCGACCTGGCCAATTGGTTCATCCAGCGCAGGCCAGTGCATCAAGTGCACTCGCCTCTTCTGCCGAGGGATGAGCTTGGTGGCCTAGCAAAAGGCTTCAGCTCCAGCCCTGCCAGTGAGTGGAATAAAAGCCTGACTCAATGAGGGAACGGTGAAACATGGAACAAACATCCAGGTAACTAGATCTCTTGGCCCGCTTCGGCGGTCTATCTGTTCAAGGCAAAATGATCCAAGGAAGTCTACCAGAAATGCCCGGCATTCAATCGGGTTGCTCCCTTCCAGGCAGCTATCTCCTCCACCATTCCCAAAGCGCAGCCCCTTCATGGGGTTCTTGCCGTTTTGGGGAGGTGTCAAAGTGTCCACTTGCCAATCACCCTTTATCCCATGTTCCCGTGTTTGGCCCCTGCAAACAGGAAGCAACGATGCCCTGAGCTCAACGCATCCAGCTCGTCGTGGGTTTTCGGCTGGCTGGCACTGGCATAGACCAGGCCTGGGCCAGCTTTTCCCCTATCCCTCTGCCTTCCCCCTGGCTTGTCAGCTTCCAAGATCAACACATGTGCTATCCAATGAACAAGACACTTATATGATTGTACATAACACATATGATTGTACATGTCTGGGCGGCGGCCCTTCATCCAAAAATGTGCTGCAAACATAGTTTCCCTCAGAAGAGCGGCCACGGAAGACTTGGTCAAATGGACTGACTGCCCTCAATGAACTGGCCTCTCTTTTTCGGAGCATCCTGCAGTCCATTGCCTAGGGCCTGGATCCGTTCTAGTTGAGGACAACGGAATCGAATAACTCTGCAGGATCAAAGCGCAAGCACCTGCACTCTCCGACAGCCAGGGCTGCCACCATCTCCAGACGGACCGTTGACTGGAAGCAGCCATGCGAACACCTGGCGAGAGAAAAACCATCTGAGCTCTCCATCTGCTCCTCTGTCAACTATGGGACAGCGGGCAAGCCGCTTTTGCAAGCCATCGCGTCTTGAATTCTATGACTCACCAACCTTAATTAGAGAAGAAACCACTGAGCAAAGCACCGCCAATGACCTTCGGCTTGGGCAAGCTCGAGTTGCCCCAGTGTTCACTGGCCATAATCAGTGCTGTTGAATGCACCGCAATGGTTCGAAAAGCCTCTGCGGTCAAAGGATTGCCAATCAACCTTCAACCCCATGGCCTGGTCGCCGAGAACGGCCGCAAAGTTGCCGTAAAGGCCCAAGTCGTACCTGGGAGAATCTCACAGGTTGATCTCCCCTTTGAGTCTGCTCCAAATCGGTCACATGTTCAGGCTGTGTGTGGCCGTCTGCAGACAAGAGGGATCCCTCCCTGAAGGATGGGAAGGCTACAGCTAGAAGACTGCCTTGCTTCGGGCAGTGCTGGGGCGCTTCAACGAGTTGAGCAACATACTGTGCATGAACGAAATCCTGCGCCACCCAAGAGACCCTGGAATGACGATTCCCATGTAAATGCCAACTGGAACCACGGGTGGCCCCAAAGCATGATGGAAAGTGAGTGTTGGTTTCATGCGCGTGTCTGTGTCTGTGTGTGTGTGTGTGCGCGTTTGCTTCGATGTCTTCGCGTGCTCGCGTGCTCAATGGTGTTGCATGTGTGTGCGTGTGTGTGCTGTTTGACACAGCCGTACGTCTCAACTCTTGACAAAATCAATACAGCCGACTGGGGGGTGTGAGTGTGTGTATGTGTGTGTGTGTGTGTTCACACGTGCGCTCGCGCAGGCGTGGGCACAAGCCAAGCCCTAGGGGCAGAATCTCTAAGCAAACGCTACGTCGCCAACCTGCAAGCCTCAGAAACCTCAAAGCCACAAAAAAACCTCCACCAAGCCACAACGCAACGCGAAGCTTCGAGGTAAAATGATGTAAGCGGCTGCTCAACAGTCTCTGCACACACTGCCCACACATTTCTATGCTAAAGCTTTGCCGTACACTTGTTGGCGTGTCCTTCTGCCACTGATGAGCCTTGGTGTTGCGGGCTCTGTGCAAGTATTGCTCTCAGTGCAAGTTGCACACGCAGAGCAAGTGCTCTGTGCAAGTTGCGTTGCGCAGGCGCTCTGCGCAAGTGTGCTGCGCAAGCTCGGAACAACTATGAGCAAGTTCTCTGACCCTGAGCAAGTTTTGTGCGCGCAGCGCTGGCCACAACACAGCAACCTTGCGATGTGACTCCAACTGTCGGTCCGGACCTGCGAAAGTATACTTGGCAGAATACTTTCGTAGTTTTAATTGTGATCTTCCAGCCGGAGCCTTCTGAGAGTGTGCTTCGCGTACTTTCGTGCTTGAAAGTTGCAAGTTGCCAGCCGAAGCTGCGATCATTTTGGTGCTTGAAAGTTGCGATTTTCCAGCCGGAGCTGGAAAAGTGCGCTTTGCGAGTTACTTTCGCGCTCCTGCCTTCCTAACTCAAGTTTGGCGGCGCGATGAATTCTCGCGCAAGTTGGCTCGTGCAAGTTTGGCTGCGCGATAAGGCTGGCGATTTTACCAGAAGAACCCTTCGCAATGCTTTCGGGAAAAAGCATGGTTTCCATGGTTTCTGTAGTGGAGCAGGATTTCGTCCATCCTCAGTGTCACTTGTTTCTCCAAACGGGCATGTGACAATTGAGTGCATCATGTAGTTGTTCCAGAAATTGGGTAGGCGCCCCTGTCATCTGTGCATTTAGCATCGCCGCTTGTCATGCCGACATGGCGCGTTCCCTACAGCTCAGTTGGGCGGGCAGGGAGGTATCCACGTCCTTCGCATCCGGCTTGGGCAGATGCTTCTCACCTCGGCGCAGTAAGGGGGGGAATTCGGAGGGTACCATTCTTGGGATTGTAGAAAGGAAAATCAACCCACTCACCTTGGCGAGGGGCCCCATTTTCACACATAGCCATGAATAAGGGAAACGGCCTCAGAAGCAAAGGAAGAAGGCATCAGCTTTCTCTGGCCGTCCCGGAACATACCAAAGCTGGGCATTGTACGGAACGGTGCGCCAGCTGTAGTTTGGGGTTGGTCCACTTGCAATATTTGAGAAATGCGCGGTGGATGAGTCGTCTTGTCAAGAAATCCTGCCTGCCTGCCTGGAAGCAAAAGCACTTGCGAACGAGAAGAAAGCAACAAATTCAGTGCGAAGTACCAAAGTTAAACCCAGCAGGCCAGCAGTGGCCACAGCTTCTCAGCAAGAAATCGACATTGCTCTTCTAAGTACTTGTAGCTCCCTTTGGACTCCGCAAGCTGCTTGGAAGGGCCTTGATATGCTGAATCAGTCTATGCTGGGAACCGCAATAATCATCCTAACAACTAACAACGTGACACTGAGAGGAGGCAGGTTCAAAGAGTGTGGGGCCTGTGCTGCCCCATGAGGCGCTTAAGGCCGGTGCAGAACTCGATGGTACTCATTGCCTAGCCATTCACGGAGGGCTGAGGGCCGGCTTTCCAGCATAAACTGCCCCGACACTCTGCTTGGAAAAGGCTTCTTTTCCCTTGGAAAACTCGCAAATGCTGCTTGTGAGCACGGCATCACGACCATAGTGCACTTGTTTCAGGGTCCGACGATGCGGCGCTAAGGATACACCAAAACGGAGTTGTCCCAAAGTAGAGAACTCTCAGTCTGTCAGCCTGCAACCCATCCCTTGGAGACGTGCCCAATCTGAAGAAGGATTCCCATTTACGCTTGACGTGTGGCGCACGTGAGATGCCAACTTCTAGTGACCGGAGGGTATGTTTTCATGGCCAGGCCCATGGCCGGGAGTAGCGGGTGCAGACCGAAACAAATGCGTTGCACATGAACATAACCTCAAGGGTCTCTGGTTCTGGCATGTTCCGACTTTCACACCTCCCAATCTGCGGTGTCCATTAAACGAACATACTGGCCATGGTAAATCCTGACTTTGCTGTTGGCAATGTGCCCGATCTGTTTTTATAGTCATTCCCAGACCGACCACACTACGAACTCTCATTCAAGCGGTTCATGCACCACATGCAAACAGAGTGCATTCACGGTCAGGTACACGTGGAAGGCAAAGAACAGCGTCACCTTGGACCACATTCACTGCCGGCAAAGGACAAGCCCTGTGATTGTGTTTGGAAGCAGCAACTTCATAGCGACAAACTGGTTCGGCTCGTTTGCTCGTGCCCCAAAGCATTTGCAGGGCT